AGGGGAGAAAGGCACGACACTCTCTCCGAGCCAATGTGGAACATTTATTTGAAATAAAAAGCACAATTTGTCAAAAATAGTTAGCTTCTATCGACTAAATGTTGATATATCAATGGATTCTTACCTGTATGCAGTATTTCTCAGCTCTGCATGTGATTTTACTCTCTTTCGTTTTGATTTTACAACCAACAGTTTTTGGTTCAATTTCTCTGCACTCATTAGTTTAGTTTTAGGCAGCAGCAGGTCTTTTTTTTGTACAAAACAAACCTCTGATAATCCCACTGTACCCTACCTGCACAAAACCAAACAGCAGAAAGGCAAAGTTAGCAAAAGCTGGAGGGGCATTTAGCCGCTAAAGAGCTAGATATTTCCCTCAGGATTTGATGGAAAACAAAAACAAAGCTAAGGCTAATTGAATATTGGATTTAAATCCATCAGGTGGATAGAAAAACCGCTTGAAATGAATGATAATTCAGGTCTCTCGAAAAGTATGACTTTAACCTCCTAAATACAGATACCTGCCTCGTTCCCTTTCCTGTCCGTTTCTTGACGAGCAAAAGGGATATTAATGTGATACATTTCAGTTAATCCGTTATTCACTTCAGAGCATTCTGTGATCGCCCCAGATGTCACTCTTCTCAAGATAATTACGGTTGATTTCCATGCATTTCTTTAAACATCATGTAGCCTATTAATTAAAGGTTTGGCACAGTTCCAGTGAGTCAAACCACAGGGCGAAGATCAACTCAATCAATTAAAACACACACACACACACACACACACACACACTAACAGGCAAGATGGAGCTTATGTTGTTTGTTAAACTGACTCCAATGAATGAAATAAATTAAAAGTCTGCAGTGAGAGTTGAGGTGCTGCTGCTCCTGTTATTAGTGGCACTGAGGTTGTGTGAGTGCATGTGTGTGTGCATGTGTGTGTGCATGTGTGTGTGCATGTGTGTGTGCCTGTGTGCCTGTGTGGGACTGTGTGTGTCACCAGGGGAAACAAAACCATCAGACAGACCCCTGGAGCAGCTGTTGTCCCCTGCGTGCCCAATGTTTCACACACACACTGTAACACACACGGATATGCAGTATTTTGTTCTGCTTGCACACACGCACACATGCATAAAGTACTTTCTTTACCATCTCACCTCTGTTTCTTTGGTATTTTTCAATAGTGTGCTCTAAGCTGCTGTACACATAAATACTCGCTCACACAGAGATTGTTACAGGCTTACCTGAACCTCAAAGAAAGCCAGAATTAAAGGTTATGGTATGGTATATTATGCTAATTTCTTGGTATCGTATTAGTATTTTGTGTCCGCACTGTTAACATGTTCAAAAAGGTCTTTATTTTTCTCATACTGCCTGTGCTGCATTACCTCTTTTCACCCTCTGTTTGATTGGTTAGCTGTCCGGATCTGTTGTGAATGGTCAACCGCTTAGAAATGAGCGTTACATGATGTCACTATGTAAGGGAAGTATACAGAGGAGTCCAATTGAGGTGTTTCAGGCAGGGGGGGGGGGGAGTGTGTGTGAGAGAAACTCACTCCTGAGGGAACTTTGGAATGTTATCCTTTGCAGATCATTTACATGCACAAAAACACAACACACTACAGGAAAGGGAAAACCCCCCAAAAGCGTAACAGGGCCTCTTTAAATGTACTAACACCCAAATCTTCAGTGATGTTTAGGAAGTGGAGGTTCAGAGATAAGTATGTGTTTAATGTATGTGTGTCAAAGGATGGAGGTCATCATTTAGTGTTGAAATTAGGCCATAACATCTCCAGACAGATTTGTGAGAAAACTCAAACCATCTCTCTTCACATCTGCTCTCATCTCTGATTGACCCACACTCACCTCCTCTACAGCTCATTAGAAATCCTCAAGGGACTGCGCTTAAAGACGTTTTTCGGAGGACCCAGGCTACCTCTCGTCCGCCAGATGTCTTTTTCTACAGGATAACTCTTTCCCTCATCTAATCCCTCGGTCCTCTTTAACCCTCGCCTTTCTTCCTCACCTCATGTCTCTGATTTGCTCTCTATCTATAGTCGTCTCCCTGGAGGTCAGACGGACAGATGTGCAGCCTTGTCCTCCACACACACACAAACACACACACATTTCTGACCTCATTCCCCCAAGGAGGCGAGTTTATCGGAGCCTATGAAAAGACAACAGCTGTACAGTACAGACAGACACAAAGGAGGACGGGGATGTCCTTGTTTTTTTCTTGAGAACTGCGTAGTGACAAAAACCTGTGGTGTAATTCTTCAAGCGTTAATGCTGCAACTAACAATCATTCCAGTGTTGCTGTTTTTTTCCCTCCTAAATTGGCAAGGAAATTCTCATTTGAGTGTAATACTGTGATGTAAGAGAATCTTGTGTTGCCTGAACCACAGGTTGTAACCCAAATATATTTAATAATATAGAAACGCACTGTGACGAAAACCTGTGGTGTAATTCTTCTTCTATTTTTAGTGTCTCTCAATTTTATTTTCCAAAAAAAGGGAAGGAAATTCTTATTTGAATATAATACTGTGATGTAAGAAAATCTTGTTTTGCCTCACCCACGGCTTAAGAATCAAAGATATTTAATTTAGGATCATCGAAGGCTAAAAAAAAGCAAAACATAATCACATTTGGGAAGCTGAATAGTTGGTTAAAAAATAATTTGTTTAATAAAATGTATTAAAAATACTGTCAATTAATATTCTGTTTATAAACCAATTCTTGTAGCTCTTAAATGCTTTGCTCTGTGTAAATGTGTGTTTGTTCACTATCATCTAAAACCTGAGTGTCCTTATTAGCAAAGCAAGTGTAGGGAAATCCTTTAAACCTTTAACATCAGTCAAATCTAAGTATCGGTTTGAGCAGGTTGGTTCAGTTAAAAATATATAACAAATAGCTCCTGATCGAGCTGGTCATTGAGTTTTTGGTTTTCAAGACATTTTCTTTTCAAACATTTTTTCCAAGGTCAAAAAATGGCGTTCACATGCAACCCAATGTACAACCTTTATTATTTAATCACAAAAATCAGCTCCATCTCAAAGACATGTCTAATGACAATCGCAGTATAACTTCAATGTGCAGAGACCCTGATATGTTTGTTCCATATGGTTGTACCCATGATATTAGAAACATGCATTAAAATGCCCAGAAATGTCATAAATATAAAAAAAACTAATTCAGGCATTTGGTACGATCAAGTCTTTGGGGAGACTTTAGGACCTGAGGGGAGGACAGAGCAGTGGAGAGAGGCTCGACATGATCTCTCTGGGAGTTCAACTTCAGTGTATTCATCACACCACACTGAACTCAGAATTTGACATTCAAGTTATTCTGATTTACAAGTAGTGTGTTTTTGGATCAATTGAATTAGTAGCTGTCAAATCAAATCCACCGCATCCAGTTATTGAAATAACTCCTTTTCCTGTTATTTCTCATTTTATATGATTTTGTTTTGTTGTTAGTATATGTTTTACTTGCAGCAACATTGATTTAAAATGTGTTGTTTCAAAAGATGTAACACTTTCATATTCAACATTAAAACTGAGCGGATCTGATTCAATTGTTAAAACCTCTCATGAATGAATCATCTATTGGGTTTCCTTATCATATTTGGCAAATTCAGTAGATCTAACAGCATTGATAGTACTGTAGGTGGAGCGCAACAAAGACTCACAATCTTTGCAGATGTGGGCTGATAAAAAGTGAGAATAAAAAGCATTGATTAAATGTGAAATGATTCAACAGGGCTTATAAAAGTAAATCATTGCACTACAGTCAAACAAAATCATGGATCATCTATTTCCTATAGTTACTTGCAGTGTTTTCCATACTTTTACCACCCTAAACATGTAAAAACACTTATTTAGTCAACTTTAGACATGGGATCGAAAGCATCCATCTTATTTATTTTACATCTTGGTTGATTTACTTCAAAGTAAAATGCTTCAATCATTTTCTCATCTACTGTAAAGCCTCTGCCACTGCCAGACTGAGTCCAGTGCAGGTGTTGGTGTGCGAGTGTGAATGTGGGAAGACAAAAATACAAGGAGAAAGCTTCTCAAAAGCGAGCCAAGAGCCAGGGGCAGGAATTAAATACTCATTATGATCTGGCACCACCAACGCTCTCTTCCTCTATGAGTGTGTGTATGAGCACTGTATGCGTGTGCAGGTGTACATGATCACTAATAACACAACCGCAAAATAGCATCTTGACTTATGTTTGAAGTTCCTGAACAGGAAGGTTTTTCCTGCATATTTGTGTGCAAGTGTAAGCAAAGATAACATGCAATAATGACTTTGTTTTAGTTAAAGGGGCCCTGTTATGTTCATATTTGTGTGCCTCTAATGTGACATGTTCACATGCTTTAATGTTCAAAAAGCTCTTTATTTTTCTCATAATGCCTGTGCCGCACCACCTCTTTTCACCCTCTGTCTGAAACCAGAGCCCAGTCTGCTCTGATTGGTTAGCTGGACGGCTCAGCCTTGTGTCACGTGCAATGTGTTAGAGCGCTAGCCAATAGAAGTGTGAGTGTTACATAGTGATCTCACTAAAGGAGGTGTGGGAGAGACACTTTGGGATGTTAGCCTTTGCAAACCTAGAAGCATAATAGAACAAGTTTTATAGCAATGCCAAACCATACACAGTAGATGGCAAATATGTATTTATTAAATGACTGACCAGATACAGTATGTTATACTTAAAACAAATTGGATCAACTTTAAAAACATAAACCCTCAAATTACAAACAATAATCATCAATTAATTTATACCAAAAATATAAATCTTAAATAATCATTCATAAAATCCAATGTAACCATTACATAAATAGCCATTCAGATTGTTGCTCTTAAAATAAATAGTTAGACTGTTGACAGTTCATATTGAAATACTTTGGAAAGCAAACAATAAAAAGAAACACAGAAGATGCCCAGCAATTTAAATGAAATATGTCTGTCTCTCCCTCTCTCTCTCTCTCTCTCTCTCTCTACACACACACACACACACACACACAAACTACAAGCACACACTTATTGCATTTAATCATCCGACCACGCACACATGATGTTTTACATCACATAGCTTGTCCGACTGATGAGGGGAACATGCAGAGGCTTTTCCAACAAGCAACGCAGCACGCCGACTGACTCGGTGTCTGAATCCTAACTGGCTTAAAGACCAGCAGACTACCTGAGTTTATTGATTTATGTATTGACTTTTTAATATAATTACTACTTAATGGAGTGATAGATTGATTGGTTTGTGAACTACTGAGCTCTGTCATCCTTGTCAAATTGCCCTGAGGCTAAACATTTGATTTTCTCTCTTTCTTCTGTAATTTCATACACAACAAAGCACACACCAGTTGAATTAACGTGCTTCAGAGCAACATACATCAACAGGGTAAACTTCACATGAAATCCGACTGTGCAAAGATAGCACACACGTATATCTGATGTCGGAAAAAGAGGAGGAGTGTTGGGATCCCGGTGAAGTTGTGTTAACAGACGCAACCAGGCAACATGCTAGTAAAAGCCGATAAATATTTCAGAACATAAGTCGACACAGAGCATGCATTGCTGTTTGGAGACCCCCCGTGCCCTGTACATATGTATGCACCTCAGTTGGAACGTCTGTATTATTAATTCATGTTTACTTTTCGGGCGCTGAAACTCATTGATTATGTTTAATCCAACAATATCTACAGGGTGTGCTATACAGGTTGTTAACTTATTTACTTAATGAAATAAAAAACACAATTTCTTCCTACATAAAATAATCACAGTACAGTAGCTGTAAAATGCGTACGAGAAATATGATGTTCTCTTGAAGGCTGCTCAGGGTGGATGTTGCTGCAAACCTGATAAATATTTCAAGAATGTAAAAGTACTTGTGTCTTCCCCTTAACAACACAACCAAAGGCCAACTGCTTGCATCGAGTGCAGCGTGCTAACCTTGTGTAATGTTCACATTTTAAGGCAGCAACAACTCGTTTTGTGTGTCAAACTCTACTCTAAATGTAATATGCTGACACCCGCAGTAAAGCAATTAATACCAGTGGCTCACAGGAAAAATCTCTCCCTCCATCTTTGCCTTTTCTCTCCCTCTCTCCTTTTTTGCTCATAACTGGAAGCTTTCAGCTGAAAACACCACTCTTTAATAATTTGTATTCATGTGTCATCGTGCTGGCTATGTGCACTTTTCAGATATGGCTGCAGATCCAACAAGCGCACTTAAACACCAACAACAGAAGTGCAAGGAAACAGGCATGAAATTCAAAAAATTAGTCTGCAAAATAAGCAGCAAATGCACAGACATGTTACACCAACAATTCAGTGTTAGTGTCTCACATGCATGAAAGGACCATGAGCAGTGGTGTTGTGTATTTGTGTCAGCGTTTTATGTCTATGTGGTTGTGTTGCTTGTTCTTGAGGTTGTTTCGCGTCTTTATGTGGTCAATTAACGTTGTTTTTTTTGGGTCTCTTAAGGTGTGATGCATTGTATTTTTGGTTGTTGGTGATTGCTTTCTGTCTCTTTTTGGTCTTTTGATTGATTGAAAAAAAAAAAAAAGTCTCTGGCCCAGGGGCCCAAGAGGTCAAGGTGCGCAGTAGGCGAACTCAGTCATCCATTCATGCTCACATGCAGCATGAGGTACGAGATACTCAAACATATATCACACAACCACCTGCTCACACACATGCACACACATCCCAAGGCTTGCTAGTGGCTAACATATGTTCATTGTGGTTGAGTAGCAACAACCTGTTTGGCACCAGGATAACTTACCTCTCAGCAGGAGAAAAGAGCTTAAATGTCTTTGCATGTGTACGTTTGTTTGTTCATTGTTAATCCGTCTGAAGAGCAGATGTGTGTCTGCTGTCAACATGTGTCACTGTGTGTCTAATGGTCTAAATCCCCAGCGCCACCTCAGAACAGTTGTAGCAACGCCTCGGGTCCCCAGTCCATAGCCGTCTGAGCCACAGCGAACACGGCGGCCCCGAGCGTGGCGGACAGCCCCCACACTGCCATCTTCACCATCCGGTTCCCCTTCCCCCACAGCTGGCCTCGCTCTTGGGGCAAAGCTGCTTCCACACCTGAGTATCGAGAGGCTACAAGCACAGAACAAGGAGGGGAGACATTCAGGGGCCAAGAGGTTTCATAAAAGGTGAAAGCTGAACCACAACGACTGGGATTGAAGACAACAAGTGGAGACAAGGGAGGAGCAGAAGTATTAAACAACCAATCCTACTCCAAACAGTACTCTAATTTTGATCACTTAGAGGCCTAAATAGATATAAATTCCACTTTTAGTTTCACTTAAAAACTCATCACATTTTAGAGAGCGGGTTGTCTGTGTGTTACTGACTCCCATTCAATGTCTGCCACAGTGAAATCAGGAGGTGCTCTTTCTGTCCGTTACGCATTTAATCTATGATGCTGCTAATTGAATTTTGATGAAACTGCAGGGAATGATGTTCATCAATTTTAATATAACATTGTTCGGCCTGAGGGGAATGCTGAAGCATATTTCTGATTGGCTGTACATCACAGACAGGCACCACTGATCAGATTCTCACAATACCGACGGGAATAAAGCATCTCTTTGTTCTGTTCTGGCATATTTAAATGTGCACTTGATTGGTCTGATGGGTGTACTACATCATTTGTTTACTTGTTATTGATTGGCCCAAAGGGGGGGGGGCAGCGTTTGTGTGGGATGACACATTTATTGCCTTGTTACGGGTTGTGTTAAAAACGTTTTTTTTAAGAACTACGGATCCATCAGACGATTTTGAAGTTTGAAATGTTTGATTTTACAGTCGATATTAATTTATTCCCACCTACAAAGAGCAGTAAAACTATCTTTGTACACACTATACGCAGGCCGTGCAGTCTTTCCTCCGTCAGTATTAAGATTACAGTTACTATCTTTACCTTGTCTGGAGGTGCTGGAGCCCTGGGTCTTGGTGAGGCGTTTGAGAACGGAGTCGGGCCTCTGATGGAGGGTGGCAAGCTGAAACGCCTGGAAGGTGCTGATGGACAGACTGGAAAACAGAAAGAAGGAGAGTAAGTGAGTGAAAGAGCGCAGATTTTACGAGAAGCATTGACAGCTGGAATGACAGGAAGTGATGGATTGAAGGATCAGCTGATGGATAAAGACAAGTGAGAGAAAGCGTGACAGACAGTTTGAGAGATCTGCTAAGTCAGTAGCCATGGCGTAATGGATTATGGGACATATTTCAGTCAAGGCCAGTGTGTCAGTGATGTCACTTCCTCTCCTGAACAATGACTGTAGGTAACAGTGAAGGACGACCAGAGGGAGACTGATGGGGGAACTATGGGCACACTAAAGTGTATTTGAGTAGCTAGAGTTATGTTTCTTCTCAGTGATAAAAAAAAAATAGAAAAATGGTCACATGCCTGGTTACACACACATACCCTGCACACACGTTAACACACACTAAATGGCCTGTGCATGTCAGCAGCATCACTGAGTCTGGATGTGTTTTTAGAGCACTCCCTCTTGGTAAAAGACAGAACTACATCCCACTCAAATACTTTTGCTTTTGTATCTCATGTTCAGATGAAACTAAAAGGTGCAGGTGCAATTAGTGAAGTATGTAATTAGTCGATTGACAGAACACTCACTGATAACATTTAAGTATATAAGTATTAACTAATAGTATTATGTCATTTATTGCTACTTTTTCACTGCTTTCTGCATCTTAAACGTGAATATTTCCTAAATTGAAAATCTTTTTTTACAATGTTGTCATGTGGACTTGATGTGGATCTGTTGATTACATTCACATTACTCAGAAAAAAGTATTTCCAATAAAGTAATAGCAGCCTTGATGTGCAAAAAGGACATGCATGCATTCAAAAGAAACAATTAATATCATTTAAACTGCACAGTGGGCTTTAAAACCTTCTATCAATTGGTAATTGTAATCCCTCTTTGTCATCTGAGGTTTTATGATGACATTTGAGCTTTATTTGTGTTTGAATGTCTAAGTGTAAATATGATGATGTGAACACCAGCAGTGTCGGGCTGTGCTTGAGTTTCAAAGCTTGTCCCCTCACCTCTTGCGGGGCTGCAGTGCTGCCCGCTTGGCCAGTAGGGATGGAGGGTACTGGTCGAACAGGTCCTGGGCCTGGCCAATCAGAAGTTCGTATGGGAGGTCCTGGGGGATGCGGGAGAGGAGGTGGTGGACCATGGCCATGTCACACTCAGTCTTCTTCACCTCCTTCTCTCTGTGTAACACAATCTGATGAGGAAAGAGAGGGGTTGAAGTCTTGTTTAAACCCTAAAGCTGTGCACTTTAGTTAACCCTGGAGCAGACGTGGATTAGGTTCTGCAAACTGGATAGCTTCAGTGATACAAGAGAGGCAGAATGAGCACTCAGCAGATAAGGAGTTAACCCCCCATGCTGTGCGCTGTACTCAGCCTTGGAGGAAACATGAACTACATTCTGCTTTGTTGTTTCACACACTTCAAACAGAACTCTTCCTCTGCCCAGCCACTACACACACACACAAAAGCACACACAAATCGCAAATACTAGAACATCCTCAAATGCAAATGAGCAATATGTGCACAATTGTACACACTGATTTACATGCAAAAAAAATCCTACTCAGACTCGAATAAACCCATAAATACATAAAGCATGCACACACAACATATAAACATTTTAATAATAAACACATATTCAATCATACATGTTCCAGCAGTAGAACAACAGTTGGTGTTGTTTTAACTCAAAGGAAAAAGTTTTGGAACAAGTGAAAAAAGTCACAAACTTTCCCTTTGTAATTTGTCCATCCTTTCAGTCAAACATCAGTCAGCCCTCCTTGTCATTCTGTTTCCTGATGCAGTCTTTGTCCTTTTCCTTCACTTTCCCCTTTTATCTCCCCCTCTATAAAACTGTCTCTCACCCTTTCATCTGTCTAATTAACTTGACTTCACAGCACTCTGCCTTTCTGTGTGCAGACGTATAGGAGGGAGTGAGTTAGTTAGTGTGCTGCAGCATGTATTTGCATGTAAGCATCCTGGATTTCTGACAAAACTGAGTCCCTGCCTGTTGTTCATTTCCTGTTGGCTACAATGCATTCTTACCGTAGCAGCGAGGTAGATGGGCATCAGAGGGTGTGAGGCCAGGAAGAAGTCGTAGAGTCTCATGGTGTGTTTGAAGTCTGACAGCACGTGGCCGTACCATGTGATGAGCCAGGACAGGGCGAAGATGGTTCCCACCTCCGCTCTGAGAGGAAATGCAACGTGATGTACACGTGAACAAACAAAGAAACACAAGCCATGCCTTCGATGTTTCGTTTTTTTTAACTGTACAACATTTATTTAACCAGGAAGGCCAAACTGAGATTAACAATCTCTGTCTACAATAAACTGGCCAAAATAACAGTAGCAAACCTAAACTGATAACATCAAATAGCTTACAATAGCAGAACTAAATAAAAATGCAGATATAAAATCACAAATATAATTTATAGAATGAATAAAATGAATATAGGCAGATTAAACCATTTTCTAGGCAGCTAGTAGCTTGATCAAAATTCATCACAAAGTTCAAGTCTTTCTTTTTTTCTTACTCTAATCAAAAATGAATAAAAAGTAATGGCTGTGTAGAAGGCAGGAAGTCATTTTGAAAAGTAATGATACACTCAATGGTGTGCGGTATACAGTACAAGTAATTTGTTGTCAGTGGGATCAAATGATAACCATGTACTGGTATGATCCAGCTAAACTTCGCCAAAAACCATGAAATAGGGTTCTCACGTAAGAAAGAATTATAAAAATGGACTAAGCAGAGAGGCTGAGATAACGTGTATTTTACCCCCTACTGTGGTTCAAGCTTCACCACTGGATCCAAATATTCCCCATTGCATGTTTTGGTTAAAATTCGCTGAGAAACGGCAAGACTTTTTAAAACATTTTCTCTATAAAATAATATATATAAATGCACCTCAATAGCCACAGCACACATCAAACACCATTAGCAATACTTGAACTGTTAACTCATCTACCTGAGTCTGGCTCTCAGCGAGGGTCTTGAAACATTAGCTTGCAAGACTTTGACATGACCACAGACATTTCCAAAGAATTAGCCTCATACGTTTTGGAGCAAAACACATTTTTCTCACACTGTTTATAAACCATCCAATGTTCTTCCCCTCTCTCTTTGTTGTGTGCAGATATAAATAGCTGGTTATTTTTGACAGAGTTTCAAGTAAATTGGATACTCTTAGCAGTTGTTGATACATATTAGATAGGAACATTCAGTGAGGAAGAAGAATGAGTACAAGGAAACTGAAGGAGTGACTAGCCGAAATAAGTAGGTGGGAATGATGGACAGGGGAGGGGTAAACAGACACAGCAAAGGGCAGAGAGCATGTGTGATAAGAGGAACATAAAAGAGATAACATGAAATTGGAGCAAGAGAAAAGGGAAAGCAGAAAGGAGATAAGAAGCCAGGTAAGGGGAAGTGGAGGTGCTCACAAGAAAGAGTGTTCCAAACTTTGAAGTCGGTGTTGTTTATCCTGCCAGTGCAATGTCTGTTTTTTGGATCATTTTTCTGTTTGTGTGAGCTTGTATGCGAGTAGATGGGTAATTTGCAAAAAGGGAGGTTGCCAGCACAACATCAATTATGAACAGGCAACAAGACAGCAAAGGTACTGTAGACACACACAGGCAAGCACACACATATCCCTCCACATATCAAATTACCTTTGAGGACGATCCAATGACTCCCAAACATCCCAAATCACAGTCCTCAACACACACCTCAACATTTACCTACAGTCATCCTATATCGGTAAAAAGCTTTTTGTTGTTTTTTCGATAAACTGCATAAATATCATGAATCATTTTATGGCTAATTACGCCTCACAAATAAGGGTAAATGTGATGCACACCTTGGTGGGACAGGAAAGCCTCTGAAACAGCTGTTGGACCATCTGACACGAGAACTCCCAAAAGAGAACACTACTGATGCATTTTCAATTGAGTTTCAATTCAAAAACCACAAACTCACTCTTTGTCTCTGTGTGAATCTCACAGGTGAAAATCAACACGTGGATGCCCTCTAGTGGTAACATTACATTACGTCCAAAATGACTTCCATTAAATCCATTCAAAATCAGAATAAGAGTTAGATATGTTTTTGTTTGAAGAAATTATAAGTAAAGTACAAACGCAAACTCTGTGTGCGTGTGTGCGTGTGCGTGTGTGTGTGTGTGTGTGTACCTGATCATGAAGTCATGTAGTTCTGTATCAACTTGTTCCAATATAGGCATCAGGTAGTTTAAAATGTGTTTAGTGCGGTCCATGGTAGGATCCATGAAATCCCTACAGAAAAAACAGGCAGAGGTTACATCAATATTACTGCTAAACATGTGTTAATAAGGTTGGTTAATTTGATACAGTAAAAAAGAAAGAAGGTTGCAGATTTAAATTAATAACCCATCAGCAAACTCCCCCTTCTCATCAAAAAGAAATAAACAGATATCTTCACGATCCTTAAGATTGTCGCCTTTAAAGTCGATTAAAATGCATATATAAATAGATAGATTCGAAAAAAATATATCAACCTGAGATGGTGATTGGACAGAGTGTCCAGCATGGCGATGGTCATCCGCTCCCCAGCCACCAGCAGCAGAGTGACCGCCACATCATGGTAGCCTTGGTAGTAATGGAGCTGGGGGGTGCGTTTCAAAACCTCCAGTATGATGTCAATCATCTGCTCCTGAAGCACAGCTCTCTCTGAGGCTCGCATGCCTGAGGGAGAGCCAGGAATCATTATAAAAATAAAACCTTCACAGAAAAAACACCCTAAAAGGAAAGCTAACATTCATGTGATTGTCATTTTAGTGAATAGTTCAAAATAAGTTATCTAACTCTTGTCTGACTGCTTGTAAACAACAGTTTCAAAAATAACTAACACAGGTAATAAAATGTTTTTTTTTGTTATTTAAATTAGGCAGTTTTAATGAGATCAGAATATATTTTCCTGAGAGAGAGACCTGAGAATAAGAACAGGATTTGCTTGTACGTGTGCTTTAAACATGAAGTTTAATTTCCAAAAATGATATCATTCTTACTTTTCATGTAACAGCAAAATTACATAAATTGTAGTGTAGCAGCTTAGTAAACAGAAAGGGATCAACTATATTAAGCATCTAACACTCTAAGTCCAGCTTTCCCTCATTCCCTGCAGCTTTTTTCAGTTTCAAAAAATGTGTTGCTTCCTCTTATCCTGAACTGACAGCCTCACTTCTAGATAAGACACTTTTCTCTGTTGCTTTCCCAACTTCCTGATGTTGGCTGACAACACAGGCGTCTTGTGACATAAGAATTGTCCCTGTTGCAGCTTTTGCTCAGTTCATTAATTATTAAGCCTTGCCAGATATGTTGCTCTAAGTACGGGGGTACGGTGTGTTGAATGGCACTGTGAGCAATGCTGCTATCTTTAAAGATAAAACAAACACACACAGACACACACACCTTTAGGGAACCGCTTCATAGACCTCCTGACATCAAGGACTACTTGGTTAAAGTCCTTGTGGTTTTCCCTCACATCTCGACCTATGAAGAAAGAAGTTATTATTATTGTTGTCGGTGTAGAGATGTAGAATTTATTCCTATACCCTAAATATGAGTCAGCATTTACTCACTTCAGATTCCCTTTTGTCATAGTCAACAAGTTTTTATTGGGTTTAAAGCCAGATACCAGAAGGTTTTATTTTATGACATAAAACATGTCAGGTAATCCTCACTTTAACTTGTCTTTAAAAAACGTGGTTGCAGACAAGTCCCTAAATTACCAGAGTTTGTCTGGAACATTATCTTTTCTTATTTTAGTGGTGGTGATGTTAAAGTCATGCAACCGTGGTGAAGTTGTGAAGCCTAAAAATAGCTTTTTACTGAACTTCTTGCCACTGCATTAAGGCTTAAAAGAATCCTATAAGTGGTGTTCATTTGTTTAGAAAATCTTTTCTGCTATTTTCCCAAACTTTAGGGAAAGATGTTATTTGATTGTTGTCGAAGGAACCAGAGGGATGCTAACTTCCAGGTTATGTCATTCCTGCATTAGTCTATTAGTAATAGTGACAGAATTATGAAGTATCATGTAGTATAATTCAACCCAGTTCATATGAAAATAAACCACTAACCAGGTTTATGAGGCAGATCGTACACATTGATGTTCAGTAGTTTGGGCCAGACCTTCCTCCTCAGTTCATCGGTGAGCAGCCCTCCCTTACTGCCTGCTGCCCTCCTCAGGGTCTCAATGTCCACTGGATCACTGGGAGTTCAAAAGTCAGAATTGGACATTGTTAAGTGTGATGCTTTTCTTAAAAATCTGCTAACACAGCAAACGTATTTTCGGGTCATCAAAAGTTAGAGGCTCTAAATATTATCAATAGTGTCCATCACTGAAATACTTACTTCAGGAATAAAGTTGAAATGTTTTTGATTCAAGTAATAATACATTTATTTATATGAAACTAAGCAGGATGTGAGCGCAGGGTTAGCGTAAATTGTAGCGGGTCAATCATTCTTTCACTATTTTCACTTCCACGACACACCATTTGAAAATGATTTTATGATCAATTTCAAGACAGACAAATTCCATGTATTTTTCATTGTTATTGTTTTTCTACTGGGACAGAAGGACGCGTGTGTCCGCATGTCTTGGCTGAATGGACAAAGAATACTTTTGTTTATCGCAAAATGAGAGTGATGAAGGTCACTGTCTACGGATAGATGCATACCATCTAATTGTGGAACAGCATGCAGCAAAGGGAGAGGCTTTCCCACTCGGGAAAACACATCATGTGGAACGGAAGCTCCCAAAACTTTTTAGATTTCTACAAAACAGACAGATTCTTAGGGGAAGCTATTGTGGGAATTACACCTAATGTGCTGGGAAAACCTTAACACTCAGTGTGTTTTTATAAAATACAGTCAGAGTAATTATGTTGTATTTTATCACCAGATCAACAAAACCACAGGCTTACTGAGGCAAACTCATGGGAGGTAAATAATACATCCTAATGAATGCCATTCAAGCAATAATAATGAGAAAATATCCATAACAAGCAAAGTGCAACTGGTATTTGTTACATTACCTGATCAAAGCCTGATGGATCTCAGCTAACTTCTGTTTCCTCCCACAATCTGTCTCTGCAACAGAGAGACAGAGAAAAAGGATGAGGGGCAGAACGATTTGGAGAGGAAGATGAAGGAGAAAAAAGAGGAGGGAGGAGACCATGTTTGAGTTATAAATAGAAGCTAGCAATCATATGCATGGAACACACATACAGATATAGACCAATAATAAACAAACAGGACGTTTCTTTAATGGATTGCTTTAGTTTCTTACGTGAAAACCATGCCATTATAATGACTGATCATAAAGAGTCAAACATGTGACAGTACAGTAGTTAAGTGATTTGCAGCCAGAGAGTATACTATGGATCAAATGAAAATAAGATATGAGAGTTTGAATTACTTGACGGGTCAAACGAAAACCCAGTGTTAATTGATGGCATAGCTATCTTTGTTTGTCTGTTTGTATATTCTGTTTTAGAGACAGTGAATGATGACATAACCATGTCCAACTTCCTCTGTCTGGCAAACAGCAGTTAAGTATTGTCCAAGTTGGCAGACATGCTGCCACGCAGGCACTACTGTCAGATATGTTGCCAATGTTTACTTTGACAAGATTGTAAACAAATGTACAACCGGAGATTAGAAACCATGTTAGAAACAGGTTAGCACAACATTGGACACATCGTGATTCATGACTTGAATGGCTGGCTAGTAATAGTATTAAGTTCACTGCCATTTCTCCAACTGCAGACAGAGCAGGTCACGTTTCTGTCTGTAAGCTACAAGTTAGCCTACGGTGGATCAATATAGTGTGTGTTTTAATATACAAACTATCTTGTGTGCCTTGTCTGTATTTATGTCTTTATTAGACACGTTTATAAAACACTACCTAGCTAACTATCTGATAGTTGACTCACCTCTTGTGACAGATCCATTCCCATTCACCTCAACTCCTGCGTTTTGTTTCTTCTTTTTGAGCCTGTTCATGCCTTTAAAAGCTGACAACCTAATGACAAAGTTTGTGTTGAGCCATAGACCGATTTACAAATAAAAAAGATGCCTCCGAACAGGTAAAAACACTGACTAAAGGTTAGCTATACGTTAAACGTTTCTCTCAACAGCTGTCTCTCAAAGAATCAACCTAACTAGACAATCAGGCTACGCTCCCATTGGGCAGAATTGACATGTGACATGTACTACGAATGCCATTGGCTCCTTACCGACTCGCACTGCAAGCTGACTTGACTGTAGTTTTGTAGTTCTGAAATGTGAGCGATAATGAGCTGTGTTTGTTTTATGTTTATGTTTCAAACGCAATTGCTCAATTAAAATGTTTTTTAAGTGACACAATTACTTACTTTGAACGCATTCCTTTTTCTCAAGGCAACAGTAAATCTTAATTTAGCAGCTGTTAGGTCAATTATTATTATTTTTGACACAACTAGCCTATGTCAATATGTTTACACAAAGCATGACGTGTGGAATACTTTTAGTTGTTTCATCTCTCCCTGAAAGAGATAATTAATTCGTAAAATGAATAGGCTGTTCACAGTAATGAGAAAAGAGAATGTCACTTATATTGAGCACTTCCTAAATCCTACATGTGGAACAAAAGAAAACACAATTATTACATCAGTTTAAATGTTCAATATGCATATGTAATTGTAATTGTAAACTGTTGAATTTGAATGAATTTTGAACCAATATAATTGATTAAAGTGCAGTGAGGCTGCTTTATGCATACATGGACTTGCATTTGAGTTATGAACATAGCCATAGTGTTATGTCAGAATGCCAGTGATGTGATTTTACAAATTAATTTCCTTTCTGGTAACTTACAAACTGCTAACAGTAGCAGATAACAACCCTTTCTATGGCCAAAAAAACAACACATTTTATTAAACACATAAACAGACAACAATAATACACCTCACCTGTTTCAAAAGTATTTCTAGGAGGACTATGGGTTAGTCCAGCATGGGACCCCACTTTCAATTTGCTCTTATACTGATCTACCCTATGTATTAGCCCTTCTAAAATCAGATCTTCATTAATTGATTGATGAAGTTAAAAAGTAGTTTGTAATTTAGTTTGAGAGACTAACCTTAATTTACAAAGACTCCCCTGACATATATCATTCTAATGTTTGTATACATATATATTCAATAGATAATACAATAAATACAATATAAATAGATGAATAAAATACAGACACATATATGAGCTCATATTTCCTGTATTTAAGTCTGTCAAATAATGATGGGGCCTTTAATTGTTGAGGCGGGGCTAATAGAATCACGTCTTGAATCTACTATATCTTTGTTATGGCGAAGATATCATGTTTTACAATAATACTTTAGATATTGCTGATATAACACTATAATACATCCATGTGATATTACCCAGTACATTTCCGTTTTTGTATACGGAAGTGGATTGAGTAACATAGATTTTGAGTTTTCTCGAAAGGGGGATGTCAACACCGACGTGGCAACCTTAATGACAGCAGTAGTGGTGATGAAACGCCTAATCATAACCGGCACTCTCCGGACCTGCTGGGACTGATCTCTGCGCTCTGGATGTGGCCCTCCGGATGATAACAGAGAAACCCGAGACAGCCAGAGAAGCAGCGATGTCCGGCAGGTAAAAACTGCGTGATTTGACCCGCTGAAATGAGCGAGAGAGCCGAGATGAAAGGGCCCGTAACCCGCCGGAGGAGGACCACCATCACCGGCAGCGGACCGGTGAATCAAGCCAACGGGAGCAAGAGTCACGATGCCGAGGAGAAACCTCCACAGAGCCCCGGCGCTGAAGCCAAAACAGACGATGTGTCCAGGCATCCGAGTAACGGGAAGCCGGACAGAGAGATGGGGGTTTCGGGGCAGCAGCCCCCACACAGTCCGACCAGAAAACACATGAGTGTGGTGGAGGAGTTTAACGAGAGACTCAGGTACCTTTTAATATTTGAATGACGTTATGTGTCATTAAGGTGGATCGTTTGTATAAAATCTGCGTTTATTTTGAATTTCCTTTTGCTGATTGCCCTTTTTTTTGCCAGTTTATTATGATTGTCCTTTTCATTTATTCATTGTCCATGAACAGCTATTAGTTGACATTTCATTTTCCTCCTCCATCTAAATATGCCAGAGTTAGTTATGAGTTTATTATCATTTGTAGTCTTTGGGCAGGCTATTACAAATAGTGGCCTAGTACAATACAGTGCTGCATAGAAAATGACACAAGCAGATTCATAAACAATGGAATATCAACCTTAGATCATTCCAACAATGATAATAAAATAACTTTATTTGTATAGCACATTAACAATCTGAGTTTACAAAGTGTTTAACTTTTGACTGACATAAGTCAAAAAGTTAATACAACTAAATAAAGCCAAGCTAATAAAGGTTTAGTCACGTGTCACCTTGTACATAATTTGTTTAGGTTAGAAGAGTGGAAGCATCTCTAGATGCATTTTCATATTAAACCAAGTATTTATGCGGGTGTATTTTTGTAATGTTAAGAAAGGTATCAATTAAGCAGCCCTTCTTGAGATGACACTTTGACTTTATAAAAGATGGAGAGGCTAGCTTTAAGTTTAAATACATGTCAAAGTATGGGTAGTACGCATGAGTTAGAACAGATATTGTGATAGAAGACACAATAGCCTGACCTTTACCCAGATATGTCCTCACCTTTGATAAATTGCATTGTTATAAGAAGGAAGCCACTCTGTCTTATTATTGTAAGCTGCCAAGTTGCTGGCTGGTGTTCAACAATATCTTTTGCAGTGTAAGATATACACATTGGTATCCTTGGGCACTAAAGTGATGCAGCCATAATATGGAAATGAATTGATTGTAATTCACATTATAGTCCTGAGTAGTAATACTTTCCTGTATTACAGTAACAGTGAGTCAACAAAGGCATATGTGCTTCTGCAATCCTTTGAGGAACCCTTCTACTCTTTCCTCTCTTTAAATGCTAATTTCATTCCTTCCTTCCTTCCTTCCTTCCCTCAAATCACTCATGTCTCTTAACCTCATATTCTCCTCTGCTTCTCCACATTACATTCCTCCTTATTTTCAAATTCTCCCCCCTACTGTTTGTTCTTTGCTCCCTGTTTGCCTCTCCCTTGTCATTCACTTCTGCTTCGTTATCTCAGTCACGTGGGGTTGTGTAAAAAATTCTTGCCTGATGAATAGCCTCAGTTTTCACAATGAACTTTGGACAGTACATTTAACCTACATTTTCACAACTCCGCCAGTGCCTGGTGCATTTGTAGGACTAAGTTGGTTCGCACAAACAATGTGTCTTTGTGATTTGGTGCATAACAAGAAACATAATGTGAAAGTAAAGAGATAACATAAAATACAACTCTATATAATAGAAAATATGAAAATAAATACCTATAAGTAGATCTGTTTTAAGTGGGCCATCATTACTGTCCTCTCAAATTAGTTAACATTTGTAATTCATGCCAAATCATGTATTGATTTGGGAAGAAACTTTGTTCACTGTATAAACCTGTTTAATGTACACATTATTCCTTCTTCATAAAAGTTAATTTCTAGAATGTTCAATTCAAGAATCAAGATGCAGTTGAATGTATATTAATGGAGGTATGAGAGCAACTTGAGGGATGTTACCAAAGATGTCATCCCTGAGCCTAGGTAAACAGACAGAAAGGAATTTAGAGAGCTTGATTAGCCCTAAAAATGTCTACCTTGTCAATAAAACTGTTGACTTTGTGTTTCCACGTAGCTGTCACGTCCTCCAGGAGTCTCTCTTAAGTTCAGCCAGTGGCTACAGCAACTACAGAGGAATCCTCAACTGGTGTGTTGTCATGCTGGTGAGTCAAACTGCGTGTGCATTCAGGACTTAAAATGTACTTTCAACTTGTTAGCAATGTAAACCATGACTAAATATTAAACCTCTGGAAATTGAAATGTTTGTGGAACCAAACAAATACCACTAAATGAAAACATGCTTTGACATGCACTCAATAATTGTCTCTTTCATGTCTTGCCATTGCCCTAAATTACTGTTTGTGGCCTTTTGTAGCTGATGTTCTTCACATTATCATAAAAATAGCCAGTTGCATATCCTTCTATTTGTCACTCTCTCTTTCTATTAGTCTTTCTCACACAAAAGCATATACAGTATATCATAGCAGCACATATATATAACTGAGGCACAGGTTATATATGTCATTGCTTTAACAACAGAATAAGAATTGCCAGTCCGCACTAACTAGTCCACACTAAACAGTCACACTCTCAACTGTTTGAGTTGTCAGATAAGTCGTTTTTTCAGTTTTCTATGGTTGCATGACTGATGATTTTAGGCTGAAAAATATGAAGCATCTCTGAACACATACAAATACAGTGTATGAAGGGTTAAACTAGGTATCATCTCTAATTTGACCTATGTCCATCAGTATTATATGCTTTCAATGTTAAATCCTTGTTTTTAATAACATGTTAACATCCCTCACAAGCCTGATGGATGTTTCCTAGGCCTAGAGTATCTTCTGATTGACCAATGAAGTTGGTTCTTGTTTTTAAATTAAAAAATAAAACATGATCCCTAGAGATTATTCTTTTAGCAGGGACGTTCCTATTTATAGCCCCGAAAAAAAAGCCAGTGTGCATGACACATCTTTAGCAAGTGCAAATCGTAATCATGATGAGAAGAATAACTTGAAAGCAGAAATATACCTGTTTGCAAAAACATGACAAGCACTCTAAATGAAATGCAAAAAATGGCATAATTGGCTACAGACGTGCAGCTGCTGTTTAATGTTGAAGATGCAGTGGGAAATAGGCCAGTTTCAGGATGTACTGTGGTCTGTATCATCTACTGTATGTCAGAGACTCTAGTTTTGGCTGTGGCTTTTGTACCTTAAAGCAAAACACTTAAATATTAGTTAATGTGAGACCTTTAACCAAGTTGCACACCCTAACCTTCCTGAAAGCATTCTTTTAAAGTCAATGTTGTGTTGAAATACTGATCTCAGTCGTATCACAGCCAAATATGCCCCCTTGGGCCGAGGTCACTTCAGGACAACAAGATCTTTTTCAGAACAAAATGGCTAAATTTAAGTGTGTGTGTCTCCAAAGGCGACCCTCTGAACATTCAGTCACCGCCAGTAGTCTGATACGCGTGGAGGATACAAATATCCAGTTAGCCATAATCCTAAAGAAATTGAAAAAGGCATCTCATCTAAGCCTTAAACTTGTGTGTATTTCCAGGTTTTTTTTTTCTAAATCAAGTCTATTTTTACACTTCTGTGACAGGATTAATTCCATCTATGAAAGTTTATATTGCTGTGACGACCACGGCCTCTACTTTGTGGTCACAAGAGACGGTTGTCTCCGCTCGGTTCAGACTGTTTTTAGGAAGCCTCTAGGATTAGACTTTAAGAGTGTAAAGTGGAACCACAGAGACTTGTGGGTGTGTGCATTTACCAGCTTAGTCCTCCATAACCAGAACAGTCCTCCATAACCAGAACCCCCGTCTAATTTCCTAAAATGTCAGCTGCAGGGGCACATGCAGATGAGAGTGTTAATGTGTTGTACTTGTTATACTTCATTTAAACTCTCTGAATGCTGTAACCAAGTGTTTAGAAATAAAGCACTTCATTCAGAACATTAACTTAAGGCGGTAGACAAAATAATAAATTAGCTACCATTAGCTGCCTTCAAAGGACAGCTTTTAAATGGATAAAAGTAAAAGCTGTGTGCGTCACAGATGTTTACATTTGGTATCAGAGAAATCCTTGAAAAGAGTGTGACCTCATTTGGATGTTCATGGAAGCACTTTTGAATCTGGTTTTCTAAAATGGCCTCATGTTTTCCATTTCTTACACAAGCCATTGTCAGAATGTAATGCCATATGAGAATGTCATACAAGATCCATGTTGTCCTTGGTCTACAGCCATCAACCTGTCCTTTTAAAGGTTTAAATACCTCACTAACAAGACACACGCACATTTAGATTGGTGCTTAAACATCTGTTCTAGCAAACCAACAAAAACAGTGCTTTAAGATGCTGTTCATGCTTGTTCAGAAGGCATAAACATTATACAAAAAGGTAGTAAGACAGTGAAGATATTTGGGATAAGATGCAGTTTTGATACTTGACAATAAAAATGATCATCCTGGATATGATACAAACAATTGATGCTGTATTGTTCCCATGCACAGCACTTTAACAGTTAGGACAGTACATAGAAAATCTCAATTTAGCGCCCATTTGCAGATTTTCTGAGCATACCACGGTTGTTAAAACAGATTACTGTCAACAAATAGTTTGGCCAGTTTCTTTCTACAACATTTATTTAACTATTAATACAGACTACTGTTTATGGGGAACATGTAAGCTGTATTGCTGTGTGTCAAAGGAAACAGTTTAATAGAAGCCCTCTGATGGAAAATGTTTGATAATTCAGTCTTTGTTGGCCCCAGTCATCTCAGGTTAGTTTTCCATGGCAAGCTAAAGTTCAGCCAACCCCAGCAGCTCTTTCTATTTTTAAACTAACCCTCTCCTATTCACAGGACACAGAGATGGCTTTTATTCAGCCACATTTTATCGTCTCCTTAATCTTGTTTATACAGTAACATAAATGTTCAGAAATATAAAACAGATTATTTAGATGAGTTGATTCTAAAGATTATGGATGTAGTTATAATAGTCATAATTATCTATTTTAACATCTTATCATTGGTGTTTTATTACTGAAGAAATGTGTTGAATATAATATAATAAGATAAGAAAAATTGACATCATATAAATAACCTTTGGGTACTAAAATATGTGATTTAACAATGCAATGGATAATCAATACATCTTTGAAAATAGGTTCCAGGACAAACTTCCAAACTGTGATAACAGCTCGATAGAAATGTTTTTAGTTGTTGTAGGTTCAGTTAATATAGGCTTCCCCCCCCCCTGCTGAAGTGTCTTTAAGCAAGACACTGAGTTGCCTCCGTCTCCCGGTGTGTTGTTCTGTATCTGCCTTCGCACACTGACCTCTCTCCAGACAGGGACAACAGAGAAGACACATTTGAAGTGGAATTATTGCTAAATCAGATTTTGTAATGCTCTATAAATGCTCTGGACAGACCAGTGTCCCAACGGTCGTGTATTACATTGTGGTCAAGTCTTGTCCATGCTGAAGGTTACTAAGGCAAAGGTAGCTGTTTTGGACAAAAGACGTTGGTCAATCAAAAGCACATTGCTGCAGGATCTTGGCAGAGCAGTGTGCTGAGGTGTAACATGCCACATTATCACCATGACCTTATCATGTGTCCAACCCTCACTGTCCCTTAAACTCATTGGCCAGAAAAATGCTTTTTTTAAATGGATACATGCTATACATAAGCATTTTTGGCTCTTTGTGGTTGGTAAGCTTTATCTAAGAAAGCTCAGATAACAGATGGACTTGGACCTTGACCTTTAATACATAATATAATGTGACTATTTTTACTTGACTGTTTTTAAGAGAAGGAGTTAAGCAGCAGGGTGTGACAGTTATCACGGTGTGATAGCAGCAGAAACATTTGTCTAAACACAGCTCTGATCTATGAAGGTGTTTGAACAGATTGTGTAGATATGAATATGTTACAGCTTTTTCTTGTGTGTTTTCTGGACAGTGACTATTTAACCATCTTAAGTCAGAGATGTAAGTGGGAAAATCCTCTTTCTGTTTTTGCTTTGAACAAAAAACTCACCCTAATTGCACAAACAAATGCATTGAACCATACAGACTCATCATTAGCAGAGCTGTGGCAAAAGAAAATGATAAACCAGATTTTTAGGAGAAGGCTAGAAATACTTTTGGGGAAACAAAGGCTAGATGCAATCAAAACATTTTAATAATTATTTTCATTAGCCGTTAATCTGCCAATTAGATTAGGTCAATGAATCCTTTGGTCTATAGAATGTCAGAAAAAAGTTTAAAGTCAAAAGTCCAAGATGTTTTGTGAGCCACCTCCAAAAGATATTCTTTAATGTCATTTCCTGCAATTTTCTGACGAAAAACTATCATTTAATCAATGATTAAAATTGTTGATTTATGATTATAGTTGATGGAACACAATGTAACATCAGATTGAGTAGCTGACTAATCGTTTGAGCTCTTCCTCTCTCTCAGGTGCTGAGCAATGCACGCCTATTCTTAGAGAACATTATTAAGTGAGTATACACACACACACACACACACACACACACACACACACACACACACACACACACACACACACACACACACACACACACACACACACACACACTTACATGTTGTCTTAGGTGTTGTCACAACCCACTCCCATTCAATTGAACCAATGGCCATCACTTCACCACTACTTTTTTTTTTAACATGTTTTCTATTAAATATAGATATAAAACAGTTGCTTTGCTAGCTGCCCATCCTAGAGGTTTAATTCCTTTCACTCTTACACCAAACGTTTACCTGAATGCACCTATCTTAAACCTTAAACAAACAAAAACATGTTTGCCTCCTATCTAAAAAAGACCATTTCTAAATGATGCCTGTTGGTATTATTCATTTCATATGTTCTCTCTCTAATGTAGGTATGGTATCTTGGTCGACCCTATCCAAGTAGTGTCTCTCTTCTTGAAGGACCCCTATAGCTGGCCAGCAGCTTGCCTCATCATTGGTATGGAGCATTTTTTTACTGCCTCAATGTCAACATTTTCAAGAGACCTTGAAAACCTCATAGCGATTTGTCCTTCTCTGACCTCAGGGTTGATTTTCAAGTTGAAGTTAGCAAACAAGTACCTGTATACCCTGAACCTAAATCCAAGTGTTGTTGTTGAATGAAATAAATCATGCTTTATAGCCTCGCCATGTCCCAAATGGCTGATCAGATTCGGTATGTTATCGCCGATTTAATGAGCCAGATGCTCAATGATAGCATATAGAAGCATTGTGAGTGCCTCTCTTGGATTTTGTAGCATAGCTGTTATTGATTATTTACCCAAAGAAGGTTGATTCCAGACATTGTCTATTTGCTGACACCAGCCTCATAATTGTCCTCAGCAGGCGCCAGTTCCTCCGTGCCTTTGTCTGTGTTAAATGGTGTTTGAGATGAGTTTGTAAATTCTGTGTTTCAGGGTCTAATGTGTTCATCCTAGCAACCTTGTACACTGAGAGGCGCCTGGCTGTGGTGAGTAATTACAATGATTTGCATATATTTTCCTAATTTCAATTTATGGTAAGTTATGGTTGGGTTTACAAATTAGTTTTGGTTTGTAACCCAGTGTATAAATAACCTTTTTGAATGATTTTGTAGAACATATTGCTTCACATTTAGATGACCTGTTGGGAGAAAGTAGGTTTATTTTTCATTTATCATTCAGGGATCGCCCATCAAAGAGCTGCAGTACACATCATTCCTACATTCACAGCCCCTCCCCTCTTTATACCTGATCTTCAGTCTGATTAGAAAACCACTCCTGGTTTAGATTAGATAACATATTATCTAAATCACTTCTGACCATATTCTATATGTTAAAAGCACATTGGATCTAGTGTTGCAGTGTAAAAAAACTGTGTTTCAGATCAAATGTTTTTATAATGTAAGACTGTTTTTCTTTCATCATTCCTAGGGTACCGTTTCTCAAAGGAATGGAGGGATTTTTCACATTATTAACCTGACATCCATGTTGATCTTCCCTGCAGCAACTGTACTCACTCTTACATCCATGACCCCAGGTACTTACTTAATACAGTAAATACACAATCATATTTTAAGACATTAATAAGACATTTTGATTAAGAATGAGTTTTTCGTGTTTGTGTTTCAGTGGGTGGTATACTCTCCCTAGCAGCCTACTCAATTCTGTTTCTCAAGCTGTACTCCTACCAAGACACCAACAGGTGGTGTCGACAAATCAGACAAATGAAAGCCAAAAGACTAACACGATCAAACTCATGTAAGTATATCGGAACGTACAAGAAATGTTAACAGGATTGTCTGGAGGCACGCACATAAAATACCTAAAATACAGTACACTGAACATAAGAGCTGCTCCATTAGAGATGCTAAATAATGGCTGGATAAAGTTTAAAACAAAACATTTACAGAAATGTAAGTGTACACTCAACAGGATTATCTTGTTTTTATTGTTTATTACTGTGCTGCTACCACCATCTATTGGTGACAGGAAAATCTGCACGTCATGCACTGACAGTTGTGTCTCTTGAATAGCTGTCAACGTTTTGTTAGCATTTTGAAGCTATTTTTATCTTAGATTCAACTTAATAAGTTCACCTCCTCACTGTAAGAGTTGGGATAAACCGAAAACACACAGAGTAACCTCGTGTATTTATAATGTTTATGATGGGAAAACATTGATTGAGATAAGTGTGTGAGAATAAAAGTCTTCATTTTGATGTGTCTGTGTTTTTCAGGTCCATCTGTGGCACAATCCAATGGTTCAGCAGTTCAAAGTCATGTCTCCTACCCCGGCAACCTCACCCACAGAGGTAACCCATGGAGATAAGCGTCACCTTTTGTAAATGAAATAAAATATTTATGAATTAACATTCTGTTCCTTTTTTGTCTTTAGACATGTACTACTTTGTCTTTGCCCCTACTCTCTGCTACCAGCTCAACTTCCCACGCTCACGTCGAATACGCATAAGGTTCCTGTTGAGAAGACTTTTTGAAATGGTGAGAGGGAACACAAACTCACTTATTGCGTTTTGTTTTGTATGTTTATTTAAAATGAGATGGTGGACAATGAAACAGACATGCATGTTAACATGTTTTCATTTTGACTCTTTCTTGTAGCTTTTCTTCATGCAGCTGTTGGTGGGGTTGATACAGCAGGTGGGTTGAATTCTAACACTGCTTCAATCATGCAGACGTTCAGAACATATTACAATATTTTCCAATCAGATCAGTTTTCATCCCATAAACAAGCTAAGTAATTTCCTTTGTGTCTTCCAGTGGATGGTTCCCACAATACAGAACTCAATGAAACCATTCCAGGTGAGTGTACACACACACACACACACACACACACACACACACACACACACACACACACACACACACACACACACACACACACACACACACTGCTGTACTTTACATGTTATACACTATCAGACATCATACAAAATGTAATGTTTGTCTCTCACAGGAAATGGACTTTTCAAGGATGGTCGAGCGCCTCTTAAAGTTAGCTGTGAGTATCTTGACGTACTGTAGTTACACTAAACAGATCTATGTCCTGTCATAACCGTATGTTTATCATTAAAAAATGAAAAGAATACACTTTAACCACTTAATCTTGTGTAAAAGGAGGTTGTCTCCTATTGTGTCTGTCTCATACTGTATGATTATTAGGACTGTAAAACCCAACCATCCATATGACCATACCAAACTTCTCCTAACTACTCCCATGACCCTCTCCTCCCCCCCTCTTCCTCTCCCAGGTCCCTAACCATTTGATATGGTTAATATTCTTCTATTGGTTTTTCCACTCCTGTTTGAACTTTGTGGCAGAGCTGCTGCAGTTTGGAGACAGACAGTTCTACAAAGACTGGTGGTGAGCAGAAGGATCATTCAATCACACACAATCACAAGGTTTAGGTGTGACTGCACACAGTATGCAGTCACACCTAAACCTTGTGATCATTTTGAGTTTGTCTCATTTAATCCTAAAAGTAATTTGGTACTGTACCATGTGCCCCACATAACACAGGAACAAACGCGTAAGACATACGTAGCAGTCGTTCAGAAACCCCAATTGTCTTGATGTCAAACTCTCAATCTGTACCATGCTTGTTCATTTCAGGAACTCTGAGACTATCACATATTTTTGGAGCAACTGGAATATCCCAGTTTACAAGTGGTGTCTGAGGTGAGCACCAAACTTGCACTAGAATTATTACCATGGTTGATGTTTGGATCACAATATTATTGCCGTGTGTATGAAATAAAATCAAGGTGTTGCCCGGCATTCATTTGAGGTTATAGTTTTTATTTTTATTGAAAAGATAAAGGTCAGTTGGTTGTCTTCGTCTTTGTGTGTTACAGACACTTTTATAAGCCAATGTTGAGAAAGGGGGTCAACAAGTTTCTGGCACGAACCGCCGTCTTCCTGATGTCTGCCTTCTTCCACGAGGTAAAGCAAAAGCAATCACTCTTCCTGTGTCACACTAACCACTACATTCTACACACATATCATTCAGAAAGGATTCAGACCACTCTGCAAAAATCATTCAAATTCATAAATCTAAACTCACTGTGATATCTCAGGGATTTATTTTGAATACTTTTTCAGAATTATTAGAGTGTTAAGGGAATAAATTATTGTAGAATAAGGCATTAGAAATAAGCGGGTCTGAAGAAAGTCTGAATGCCCTGTATCTGCTAATTCATCCTCCAGACATTTATCCTTTTTACTCGATGTCTGTACCTGAAATGGCCTTGTGTGTACAGTTGTCAGTTCAACAACTTAGACAGTAAAGTGAATCATGTCAAATGACAACAAATATTTTACGCTATATTAAGCAGTGCAAATTCAAACTGTTATATGTCATTTAAAACTATGTTTTGTGTCAAAACTTTGATTCCTGAAGCTGTTGTATCTGAGATATGAGTTTTCATTTGTCCCCTTCTCACAATAACTCATTTGCAATATATTTTGAGAGATGGTCTGTGTCTGATTGTATTCCTCTGTCTTTCTTCTTCAGTACCTGGTGAGCGTTCCTCTGAAGATGTTCAGACCGTGGGCTTTTATGGGAATGATGGCTCAGGTAAGACACACTGAACCGTCTATCACCTTTTCTCTCCTCTGCTGTAGGAAAAACACCCTTTGACCTCTGACCTTTAACCTCTCCAGGTTCCTCTGGCGTGGTTTGTGGGTCGTTTTCTTAACGGAAACTATGGCAACGCCGCAGTGTTGATCTCACTCATCATTGGCCAGCCTGTCGCTGTGTTGATGTACGTCCATGACTACTATGTCATTCATTATGGGAGCACGACATAGCACACACACACACACAGTTTCACAGTCACACACATAAACATGTACAAGTCATGTTGAATACTCGCACACAGACACACACAGGCACACACATACACAACCTGCAGGACTACTCAAGGAGTTAAAGTTGAGTAGGTTGAGTGGACTTTATTAGAAAGCCCTGCTGATATGAATCTGTCAGTGAAAGCAGCAGAAAATAGTTTTTGCTTCGTGGATTTTTGCACTATAGAGAAATGAACTCAGGAAAGTATTCCTAGAACCTGAGAAGTGCTTGCTTTAAAGAGTATTCCTCTTTTATGAGGACATTCCTTTGAAGTCAGTTCCAAAGTCTCCACCTGCTCTTAATATCTATATCTAGCATTGAAACGATTCAACTTTAAACAAACAAGTATTTAATTTCTAAGGTGTCCCAAAGTTGCCAAAATGGGTGATTGATCATTTATGAGCTCAAACTAAGGTTAAGTGCAATATATAAAATGATAAGAGCACTTCGCTGCATTCAAAAGTGGAAACACTGCTTGTAAGCAGACCCCCTTTTGTTCTGGAATATGCGCAACAAATGTGAACCACTGCCGAGAAAAACACAGAAGAGGATCCTCAACAGAGCCTTGCTTTCAAAGGCAACAGGGGAAAGATGATGACAGATAAGTAGCCAATGCTTTAAAATGGCAATATAAGAAAGATCCCAGTGATTTAATAATTGTTTTCATAGTGTACATTCTGAAAGTCTCTCTTTTTGATCTTGTGCAGTTGTTGAGTATTACAGAAATGTGTATTTGAAGGATTTTTTTCAACAAAGATTTAAGGCAGGAAAGGAAAGAAAGAAGCTAAACAATGAGGGAGAAACTGGAGACTGATGTTTTTGTTTTTATTTGTACAATCGTGAACGTCCAGGCAGCCTTTCCTTTTCTGTTTCTCAACTCCAACGCCATCAATGCAAACTCTTTGTGTAACAGAACATGCTGCAGGTGTGTTTTCTGTTGGCTTAAGTGTCTCTTTTGTAATGCATTCGACTTATCAGAGGTTTTATTTTATACTTAGTCAAATGTTATGTGTCGGTATAACAGTTACGTTGCACTAAATTATAATTGACGTGATGTATTATTTTGAACCAATAATTTAATGCAGTAAGTGATTTGCTGATTTGAACCAATGAATGTTTTTGCACTTTAAAGAGATGCATACGGAGCCCTAAAGGGACATTTCTTCTGGAGAAAGTTACCGCTGCGACAACCATTTCATTGCACACTGTTATGTTTACGTGGGTAAATGACAGTGCATACATTATTTGAGAGGGGGGATGTGAGTCTGTTTGTGCTCTGCTCAGCTCCGCTCTGTGTGTACAGTATGTGTTCTGAGTGTTTGTTTCACTTTAAAACAGCTGCGGGCAGCAGGTACTCTGAGAGTCACAGACATTAATTCATAGATCAAAGCAGACTGGTTTACAGACTCTCCTGTTTTGCCAATCCGGTGCTTGAACAAATAGCTCTACACCCCTGGCCGAAATGTCCATAAAATTAAGTCTGAGTTCGAAATATATCTCAAATAATGTATACACTGTCATTTCCCCAAGTAAACATAACAGTCTGCAATGAAATGGTTGTCTCCTGTGTGCTCCACTTCCTCCTTAGTGCACCGGTAACTTTCTAAAAAAAAAAAAAAGTCCCTTTAGGGGCCCCGTATGCATGCCGTTGACTAAAGCAATATATTTTTCGAATGTATTCTTTAAGATATATCAATCATGCAAGGAAAATATGTTTTGTTTAAATAATTTGTATGTTTGGTAATTTGCTTGTTGATATTTTTGTTGTCCTATAAGGTGGGCTTAATTTCGGTTCCACAGCAGCTGCAGTGGAAATAATGAGAGCCTTTTCATGCCATAGGTTTTTCAGTGTTCAAATTCTAAAGAAAATGATTGTCTTGGTTTAAAAAAAAGATGCCAATACATATATGGATATATCCATACAAGAGTTAGATGCTCTGTTATTTTACATTTGTTTTAATCTGCTTTCCAAGTACACAGTGAAAGTTGACTCATCATGACAAATAATCTCCAAAGTTGTATTTAAATTAGTTTAGAGCGAATTTCAGGGAGAACACTGTTCAATCAGGAGAGACGGTTTCGATGTAAGAAGAATACATATTTATTGCAGGTATACAAAAAGGAATGTAATGGAGTTTTGGCGATTACGCCCAGTTGTGCAGGAGTATCATTCGGGAGGGGAAAACCGATCCGATGAAACCCCCCGGGGTCTAGACACTGGTGGTGGTGAATGGATAGTTGGGTTCGGTCTGAAGGGGAGTGGCTTAGCTTGACCCTGGATTCAGAGGGACAGGAGGTGAAAAAGGGGTGGAGGAGGGTTGCGTTTATACCGTTATACAGTCTATTGGTTGAGTCTATAGACTGTATATATAAAGAGTCACATGAAATGACAGCTGTCAGAGGGGGAAGAGCAGATTTAAAAGGGTTAGCGGAGCGCTATGATAGGCTTGTGAGAATAGAGCGAAGTGATTGGTTAAGCTGGGGAGTGACGCCCCCAATCACTTATTGAGAGGAGAGAGAGTAGTAACATAGCATAGTAAATGAATGAGTAAAGAAGGTCTTCCTGGTTGAACTTGCGCTGAGCTTCATTTGTTAAATTCTACTACCAGTTATCAAAACTACTGAGTGTTGGCATTCCTTATTAAAATGTGCCTGCTGTAAAACCACGTTGAAACTAGGTCTAAAGAATTCTATCGACCAATTGTTTTACGTAAAAAAAACAGAGGCCAAATACACCCTTACCTTAATTTGTGTCAGCAATAGATTTATATTTAATGTTGTGAAAAATTTGGAAATTGAAGACCTCCTGCACATATTCTAAATACCTATTTAAATGCGACAGCTTATCACTTTAAGCGATATTTTGTATGCATTGATGAAAAGAAGATGTTTTTTTGGAGAGCCATATTATCAGTTGGTCTTACCTGATTAAAAAAAATATGACCCAGTTTAAAATCTGTTTGGACTTTTGAATCAGTGAGCAGCAGATTGCATGATTTTTTTAAATGTGTACTCATTGACAATTCACTGCAAAAAACTGCTTCGGCAGCATCTTCCCAAAATGCAATATGCATGTTTTCATGGGTGGGGGAACTAGAATACTAAATAAAATGACAAGTCGTCGGTATCAGTAACCACTGGCGAAATCCAATGGTACAGATGAACTCACGATGTAAAATGATAAATAGAAATGTAAAGAAATTATGCTTTTTCTAATTTATAGGATGAGAAACTTGTTTTCTTCTGTGAAAAATGTTTTGTTTACAAGCTTACTTGTTTTCCTGCCAAATTATATTTATATTTATGAGATTTCTTGAAACGTAAAATATAAAGTCACAGGGTGCAGTCCTGAGTCCTAACCACAGCTTTAGATAGGATATGTTGCATCTCATGGCTCCGCCTTCTTTTGTGTGCTTTATTCACCTAATTCTTCCTGTTTTCACAACATTACTGTACTGCGTCTGTCCTTGCAATATGAGTTGAAATGCTGAAGATGCAGCTTTAAGCTAAACTGACTTTAGTTGTGAAATAAATGCAATACTATTCTGTTCATACTGTTCACAGAAATCCAAAGTGAAACAAAGATTATATGTTTTTTGGGAATGCAAATCATTTTCCTAGCCTTTCACTTGAAATGATGTGTGTAATTTGATAAAGATTAATTATATTTGAAGAAAGGACTCGTCTCTTTTTGTTCGTTGCAGTTTGTTTATGGTTGGTATTTGACAGACATTCACATGGATCGCCTTATTATATTATTATATTTGTATTTAATACAGCTCTAACTGAGCCTTAATTCCATTAGCAGGGAACAGCGAAGCCTCCTATCCTGTTTCCCAGTTATTTGCCAGCACATGGCTGCTTTAAGAATGGATTTCTTTTCAACTATTTTGGCAATTGTAAGATTTATTGTACGATTAACTAATGCTATAGATTATATTATATTTAAAACTGTGCAGTGTGCAAAACTGTGATGACAGATGAGTACATAAAATACTTTATTGTGCAGAAAGCAACACGGCAATCAAAACTCAAAGTTCAAAAATTACAATATTGCAAAGTTTTAAAGTTCAACACATGTTTACACACAGTTATATCTTACAGCTAAACTCCACATCAGCTCAGGGGGAACGGTGCAGGGGAGAATCCTTACTGCTGCAAGAAACAAACACAAACAAAGTGTCAGATCAACAGCTAAATATCTATCATCTTTTTAAACAAACTGTAAACGTGCAAACATAAAGATCTGGTTTTAGGTGGTGTGTGTGTGTTTTTTACCTTGGCCTTTTGGTTCTGGACGGGCAGGTAGAGTTTGAACTCTGCAGGGAGCTCGTCCTCAGAGTACAGTCTGTCTGAGAAATACACTCTCCTTATTCGACAGTTAGCGTGGATCTGAAACGAAACATAGCTTTATTCATTAAAAAAATAGTACAATCTTACAAATGTCAAAATAAAATGGGTCAGGTCGCTTTTATCCACTACGCTCCCAAACTGTGGAACACCCTACCAGGAAATATCAGAGAGGCCAACTCAGTGGACATTTTTAAATGACCGCTAAAGACAAATCTTTTTAGATTAGCTTTTTATTAGCTACCCCCCACCCCTTTTAAATGGTCTTTTAGTCTTTATTATTTACCTACTTTTATATTGTTTTATTTATCTTATAGGTCTTAAAGGGTTTTATCTTTTATTATATATTGAACAGTTTTAATAGCAATATTTCCTTTTACGTTGGTCTTTTAATATTTTAATCGTTGACCCTTTATTAGAAATATTAATCTTTTAATTTAAATTTTTGTTGTACCTATGTTTATTTTATTTTTGTAGGGTTTCATATTGTTGCATCGATTCACTTAGTCGTGGGTCATTTTTTTCCCAGAGAGGAATCGTTATTTATTTTATTTGTATTATCATACCTTTTACCTCCTTGTGTTTCTTAACCTGTTAACATGTTATATTTTGTTGCTATGCTGCATGTATCTGTAAAGTTCTTTATTATGATCTGAGGGGAATTTATTGTTGTTTATTTATATTTTTGACTTGTGATGTGTGCCATTTTGTCAAGCACTTTGAGCTGCACGTGCTGTATGAAAAATGCTATATACATAAAGCCAGACCCGGAGCCAGAACAAATCTACAGAGAGGGCATATGATTTTCATGGGAGGGCACACAAAACCGTCATGTGCCGCGACACAATATAGATCCAATCAAACAACAGTGGCCAACAGCATTGCGTAAAGACGCACACCTATCGCAAATAAATACACAAATAAAGGGTAACAAACACTGGTAACTCATGAGCAAGGCACACATTTGAAATAAAAACATAACAGCAACAGCTTTGCCTGAAGAATGGAATGGATTGAAGGATTGGGCTCGCTAACTCAGCCCCGGGGTTTGCCGAGGTCAAGCTAGTAACATTAAGGCGTGCTGCTGCAACGGCAGGTGCAGGGTCGCCAGCAGCACCATCGGCTGTAGTTCTTTCATCGCGATTTATTTGTAATAAATCCTTAGACCTACTCGTGGTTTTAAGCCAATTTCTGATGTCCATTTTGTAATTTAACACTAGAACCGCCAATGGGTCAATTTTACCCGCAGCTGTTTTTTTGATTGTATGTAACTTTTTTTCAATAAAATATTCAAGTCTCCCAGTCCGTGACTTTTCCTGAAAGTATGTTATGTAGTACCAAAAAAAAAATGCCATTTATACCTATATCCGCCAGCGGGTAATATTTACCTCAAAGAAAATGCAGCGTAAACATGACGTGTTGCTATAGTAACGCCTTTTGTCTACTGCGGTTCCTTATAGATAGAGATAGAGAGAGAGATAGATGGATAGATAGATAGATAGTTAGAGAGAGAGAGATAGACAGATAGATAGTTATAGATAGATAGAGAGAGAGATAGAGAGATTTGTACCTAAACAAAACACAAGTCTAACACCAAGCGTTTAAATCAGCACTGGTAGCGATATTTTATACTTCATGCTATCTGCACAAACTTTATTATATGAAAAGCTGAGAGTCCACAGATTCTATTGGTATAAGTTTCATCCCAGTAGTGTGACGCTGTAGTGTGACGCTGTGATTGGTCTAAATGTGGACGAATCACAAATCACAAAAGACACATTAATTGATTTGACGTAGCCTACGATCTTTTTTTGTAGTTACTATCTGACATCAAATACATCGTAGCATTAAAGATCACAGGTTATTTATTTTTTTTTTAAGTGTTTATTGGGGGAGGGCAGAAATGTCAAATGGGAGGGCCTGGCCCTCTGCATGGCGCCGGGTCTGCATAAAGCTTTATTATTATTATGTCACACTAGTGAAAGTGCAAGTAGCATCTGGAGACAGTTCGCCCGTTTCCTGTCCACTCACCTGTACACGCAGCGTCTCGATGTAATTGGTTCCATAAGCCCTCCTGGTGAAGTCCGACAGGTTAAACTGAATCTGGTTCCAGCCGTCATCCAGCCTCATGGGCATCGTGCAGATAAACGGCTTCACTCGTGTCGTGCTTTGATAGTTACTCGCCCGAAAGCGCCGCCGAACGTTTTTATCATCCAACACCTGCAATATGGAAAAGATGAAAAGAAAGCTTGAGTTGTTTGTTTCTGCCACCAAGACATGGAAGTGTTTTGTATCTGCAAGAATGTTAACATCACCTGGACTTCAAAGGTGAAATACTTCTTGAGATTTTTGATGATCATAACGAGAAAAGGAAGCTTGATGCCCAACGTCTTCTTAGGGTCTGCAGGACATGTTATATATGTGGTGCTGCAGAGAGAAGAAATTAAAATTAAAATAAAAGGGTGGTAAATGAGTGACTAGAGCTTTAATAATGAGTCAAGCTGAGCTAAAAAATCGGTTAAAACAGTCACAAACTCACCTGACGTTTGTTCCCTCAACCTCCAACACCAGTGAGTGGATGTCATTGTCTGTGATCCTCTTGATATGACCATTTCTAACCTGTGAAAGCACAGAAATGGTATTTTCTTAAAATGTACATAAAGAAATCAAGCGATGTCACATTGGTTTAGGATGGCTGTCACCATAATTTCACTTAATATTTCTAGATAATTCTTCTTCTACATAAACTGTGACATACTGTTTAAAAGGTAAGGAGGCATTTAAATAGGAATGTAAACTGCATGAAGTAAAGCAAGCTCCCAAATATTTCAAACCGACATGAATATACATTTGTTATGAATCTATTGGATACAAAAACAAGGCTAACATTTTATCTCAGTTTCTTGGTAAAACAATCTGTATATAACATTGTGAGTTTTAACTTAATCTTACAACAGGCACAATAAATAACATATCAAGGTGTTGAAAGTGAGTTAACCTCAGAATCTTAAACAAAGTGTTTTTCTTTTCTTTTCTGTTATTAATTGTTACATGGCAACAGCGCCTTTTGGTCCACCTTGTATCCTGCATTAGTTATTTAACAATGACTGAGAACTAGTGGTTGTCAAATGTTCGATATTTTATGAGCAACACAAGACCCATACTTTACTTTCAGATCAATGTTTATGCTTTGAATCATTACTGTAACCTGTTTAGATTCAGACTGTCAACAACAGGAAATATCAACTGGGGTTGCCAGCGTTCTTGAAAAATGGGGTTAGCTAAATAAATCAATGATTTTATCATAACGACACCACTTTACTAGATCCGATTGAATCCACTTATCGAATAAAACAATGTAAGCTTCTGGCGTAGACTAAAAACAAGCTAAAGCTCCAACAGAGACACATACGCTAACGCTAGTTAGCTCTAGCGCGGCTAACGTTAGCTAAGGAAGCTAGTTATAATAATAAGTAACTCTGCTCACCTTTTTATCCCATATCTGAAGTGGTTTGCTGCCGATGCTGTATAAAATAGACAAGAATCCGCTTTGAAACGTGTTTTTAAACATCTTGTTTGAGCTTAGACCACAGTGTCTTTGCACATGTGTTTACGTCTACTAACTAAAACTGTTGCTTGCTAATAGGTTTACGTTTGTTTACAGATGTAGTTTCCGTCCCCAACGCAACTGGTTCCGTGCGGTACAAAATAACCCGTTCCGCTGTCAGAAGTTAAAACGTTTTGGTTAACTCAGACTTGTCTTGTTTTGTGATATCCCCACACGTCCTCCCTGGGACATGTTAAAGTAAAGAAGGCTAATGTTCACCTCCTTGTTATGTTGGTGTTGCTAAGGAACAGAAGCTCTTGGCGTTGTTCAGGTCGGCTCTTTTTAAATGGTGACGCAACTCGGTAGCTGTGGCAACGAAAAGCTAACCTAGCCCAGCAGGCGAGCGCCGATAGAAGTCGAGGACGCTTCCTTGGTATGACATGTCCTTCCGACTCAGGTCCTTCAGAGGCTAGGCAAGAATAGTGCGTCATATGCAAGGCCCCGCCTTAAATTGAGCAGGATTTGTTTGAAGAGAAGACTCATAACTGGATATTTTTGTCCAAACACACACTAAGAATTACGAACACAGACATAGAAGTTCCACTTAGCAAAGCGGAGGTTAAAACATTCATACAGAAATATGCACAAACAACATGGCAAGAACATTGGGACATTAATGATACAGGAAGACATCTTTATAACATTCAAATGTATGGTGGGGGGTGGAAGGAAGGGGGGGGGGGTTTAAAAGAAGGGAAGAACATGTCATTTCTCGGATGAGAATAGGTCATACAGGTCTCTCAATCCAGAAGAAACTGTCGAACATGTTTTACTGCATTGCAGGAAATATATTACTCAGAGGAATGTGCTTTTCCAGACACTGAAGAAAGCAAAATACCATGACTTTTCGCTTTCAGGGCTGTTAGGGAAAACATCAGGCAATATATATTGTGAGATTATTAAGTTTCTAAGATAAATTGATACATTTAAAATAAGAGTTTTATTTCTCTTTTCTTCTCTTTCTTTTTGTTTATTATTTGTCTCTTGTCCACACTCCAGTCCAGTTGGTGGCGGTAATGCACCTACAAGTTGGTTTGCCAACCGTCAATAAACACCGAAGAAGAAGAAGAAGAAGAAGAAGAAGAAGAAGAAGAAGAAGAAGAAGAAGAAGACTCATAACTGATTAGTGATTTGCGAAGATCGAAGATGGATACGGTTTTGTTGTTATCTTTTATCCACCAATTTTTTGAGATGGAGGACGAGATAGAGCGGGAGTATCGTCGGCATCTGTCTGCTCGGAGGAGGAGGATGTTCTGTCGGCGCCTTTGCAGAGGACGACCTGCTCGGGTAGGAGAAATAATGTTTTATTCAAAGTTGGGAGAATGGGTAAGCTAGTTAAATAAGTCTTGCCGCTTGCCTTCCTTACGAGTTGTATTCTCTAATGTGAATCAAGTAAATGAAGCATCCATAATAACTCCATAGGCAAGGCAAGGCAAGTTTATTTATATAGCACCTTTCAACACAAGGCAATTCAAAGTGCTTTACAAAAATGGAAGACATTATGAAAATGGCATTTAAAATCAGTCATTAAAAAGAAAAGATAATAAAATAAACATTAAAAGAAAAAATACATGGATAAAAGTTAAAAGTTACAGTGCAGTTTAAGATAGTTAGTTTGTGAGTTGTCATGATGGTTTGAATCCCCCTTTATATTCCCTCTTGCATGCAACACGTGTTCCGGATTAACTGGTGTCCCGATTAACTGGTTTCCCGATCAACTGGTTTACAGAGGTGGCCTTTGACTGAAATACACATTTCGATCGCTTCTTCTGTCGTTTACATAAATCTTTTGGTATATTTGGCTCGGTAGGAAGACTTTGATGCACATTCAGTACCAGTGTGTGAGGTTGTGGTTACGATGGCGATATCCGGACGCGAACAGCGAGGACTACAACAAGAAAAACGAGTTGACTGGGGATGTCTGTTCAAAACATTGCGAGCTCCAATAAATCATTTAAACCAGCTATTGTTGCCCGATTTATCACTGAATATCGTTCCTAATGTGATACTAAGTCCATCTGAGACCTGTGTACACCTTCAGACAGCCTCCAAGTGAAGCACACGGTGTTTACTCACAGTTTGAAAGCAGCGTGGAGAAGTCTTCATCTGTGTTAAACTGTGACCCGCTGTGGTAAACGGCGATCCGCCCAGGGAACTGGGACCCATCCTACTGTATCAGCTACTGCATTCGCAGACATAGCAAAAGGGCCTATTTAGAAAGTTAGCGTTTAGTGATTTTTACTGTTGGGACTCGGGTTTGAGTCCAGCATGAACTTTTTTGTTATTTTCATGTCGATGCACACTGAATATTATGTTTGAATAGAGGATTCCTAATATTGTTTGCCGAGACCAACATTCATGACCAAGCAGCATTTTAAAGTCTAAATATCCCTGCACATGCAGCAATATTGACATTTCTGCTGCTATCTTTGCAAAACGAGTTAACAATCACATCTTATCTGGATGAGTGCTGCAGAATACCGTTTTTATAAGGGATACATGTGTGTGTAGTGTAGTCTTTCATATTAAACATGATCGCTGGTAGATAGCCACAGAAGTCTTAACAGAGTTTAACCTGGGTGGTCACAGTTTAACCTGGGCGGATCGCCGTTTACCACAGCGGGTCACAGTTTAACACAGATGAAGACTTCTCCACGCTGCTTTCAAACTGTGAGTAAACACCGTGTGCTTCACTTGGAGGCTGTCTGAAGGTGTACACAGGTCTCAGATGGACTTGGTATCACATTAGGAACGATATTCAGTAATAAGTCTGGCAACAATAGCTGGTTTAAATGATTTATTGGAGCTCGCAATGTTTTGAACAGACATCCCCAGTCAACTCGTTTTTCTTGTTGTAGTCCTCGCTGTTCGCGTCCGGATATCGCCATCATAACCACAACCTCACACACTGGTACTGAATGTGCATCAAAGTCTTCCTACCGAGCCAAATATACCAAAATATTTATGTAAACGACAGAAGAAGCGATCGAAATGTGTATTTCAGTCGAAGGCCACCTCTGTAAACCAGTTAATCCGGAACACCTGCACAATAAGCAAGCAAAACTTTTCTCCCGTGTCAATGTTGCATATTGTTTGTGCATGTTTTTAGTCGTTCTAACACTTATCGATGCGGAGAAAATGTGTAATCACATTGCAATTGTGTTTTTAATAATGTAAACACACACAAGCAAATAGCAGATTTGAAAAAAATAACCATTAACAAATGTCAAGTAAACTTAAAATGCCCTCTATTCTTTATGTTACGCAGGCCCATCATTACTGCATAATTAATGCCACCGTGCCAGTCCTCCAGAGGTATTTTGCAGACGAGGACACCCGCCCTGACTTTCGGCTGGGCAGGGAGGCCATCCAGCAGCTCCTAGTGGCGCTGAAGACAGAGAGGCATCATGGATGGGGGTCAACTCTGGAGACCCTGGTTTTTTTGTTTTGGATTGCCAGTGGCTCCGCTTACAGAGTGGTCTCCAGTGTGTTTGATGTGCCTCTGCCGTCCGTTCACCGCATTGTCCACAGGATGGTGGATGAGGTGGTGGCCGTCTTGCCCCAGTTTGTCCGTCTCCCACGCGTTGAGGACTTGCAGGTGGTTGGTGAGGGTTTTGCCCGGTTGGCTCACCACCAAGCCTTTAGCAAGGCAGCTGGGGCAATTGACGACTGCCACATCCGAATGAAATGCCCAGGTGGCCCTGATGGTCAAGACTACTGCAACAGGAAGCTGTTCCCTTCAGTTGTGTTGCAGGCCGTCTGTGACCATCAGGCACGCTTTATTGACATTTTTGTGGGTTACCCAGGATCCGTGCATGATGCAGGGATTCTTAAGAACAGCCCCATCTACACTAGGGGGACTTACCCTCCACCAGGGTATTTCATCCTAGCTGATGGTGGCTCCCCATGTCTACAGGAACCCCTGGCCCTTATCACACCATATAAGAGGCCAGTGAGAGGCATGGCAGAACAACGGTTTAATTACCATCACTCCAGGGGTCACTCAATCATTGAGCGGGCCTTTTGGGTGCTGAAAACCCGCTTCAGGAGCATCTTTTTAGAAGCACTTGAAGTACATCCTAAGTTTGTCCCCAAGGTAATGAATCATTCTAATGTTTCTGTAGCAAATTAGTTAATTGAAATCCTAATATCCTTATCCTGCTATACTAAGACTGTCTTAATGCCTAACAATTGCATAGTCACATACGATAGATACTATGCATCACACTTTGTTTTGTCCTTTTTTTGCTCTGCCTTGTGCACAGGTTGTGACAGCCTGTGTAATTTTACACAATATATGTGTCGGGGTTGGGGATGACCTACCTCCAGAAGATGCCGCCCTGAAGGAGGACAACCAGCCACCTGCTGCGCATGAAGGTGGTGGGGAGAGTGAGAGGGGAGCAGCATGGCGTACGGCCCTTGTCAACGAGGTGTCCGCACTTGCTGTTGCTCCACTGGACTATGACTATTTTGCACAGGTGAAAAACATGGCTCAAATCCCATGTCACAATCTGCTTATGTACTTGAGTAACTGTATTTGGTAAAAATCATCATCTCTCTAGGACAGAACCACTAAACTAACATAAAACTTTCTCCTTCTGTTTGCAGCCTTGAAAAAGTCCTGGAGGATAAGCAGCCATAAGAAAATCATAAAATCACCATCACCAATTCTGCCTACAGGTGGGAGATGGACCACCTGGTGACCTGGTGCAGGGACAACCACCTGGAGCTCAACACTCTCAAGACAGTGGAGATGGTTGTGGACTTTAGGAAGAACGCAGCCCCACCCGCCCCCATCACTCTGTGTGACTCCCCAGTAACTGCTGTGGAGTCTTTCCGCTTCCTGGGCACCATCATCGCCTAGGACCTCAAATTGGAGCAGAACATCTGCTCCCTCATCAAAAAAGCCCAGCAGAGGATGTTCTTCCTGAGGCAGCTGAAGAAATTCAACCTGCGAAAGACAATGATGGCGAACTTCTACACCTCCATCATGGAGTCCATCCTCACCTCCTCCATCACCATCTGGTACGCCACAGCCAAGGATAAGGGCAGGCTGCAGCGTGTCATCCGCTCTGCAGAGAAGGTGATCGGCTGTAATCTGCCATCCCTCCACGACCTGCACGCCTCCAGGACCCTGAGGCGGGAAGATAGTGGCCGACCCCTCTCACCCTGGACACAAACTGTTCACCCCCCGCCCCTCTGGCAGGAGGCTGCGCTCCATCAGGACCAAAACCTCTCGCCACCTGAACAGATCTTCCCCTCCGCTACCGGCCTCTTAAACAAGGCCCGGCCCCCCCACCGAGACTTTACCTCAGCCATAACGCAGACTCTATATGCATTACATTAATGCACACAATGTTCAAATATTGCTTACTGCACACATTTCATATTCTATAATTCACTGCAAATGACTGCTTTACTTTATTTTATTGCGATCTATATTTTTTTAGTGTTCTTAATATAGTTCGCTATCTGTGTACTTTTTTTTACATTTTTTGTTTTATATTTGATGTACTGTATGCATCATGACATCAAGTCAAATTCCTCGTACGTGTGAACCTACCTGGCAATAAATCAGTTTCTGATTCTGAATAATACAATTTGTATTCATATATCATACTTGATGTCTGCAAACCTTTTTTACACATATTGGTGCACATTGTAGCATAAACCACAAATATCAACAAAAGAAGCAAAGTCAAAACGAGGTTCATTTTAATTACATTATAATTCAATTATTTATTTTGGTGCAAAACGCTCTAAGAGAGCAAAGAACCTTTCAAATCTTTCTCGGGCCTCTGCTGCTCTCCTCTCTTCTGCCTCTCTCTGATAGAGGAGGTCTTCCCTCAAGAGATTAAGGAAGGGATCCTCTCTCTCCCTCTTTTTCGTTCCTCCGCCTCCTCCTCTCTGTCTCTCCGTGTCCTCCTTGTATTTTTCCTCCTCATCCTCATCCCCTCGCCCTCTCTGACCTTCCTGGGCAGTGCTTGGCCCTGGTTTGTCCTCTTGGATGGAGGCAATCAGGCCGGGGGGCATGCCCGCCGCAGACTGCCCTAATGCCTCATCCATTAGGACAAACCAGTGCCATGTCGCTGCCGTCGGTTTCCCGTCGTCAGTGCCCTGTCCTGAGGTGGGACACTTGCATTCCTGAACAGTGAAGACCAAATACATACATTACATACACACATTAATATATAAAAACATAATACATATAATCATGTCTATATAACCTCTCCCACCTTGTACTTGGTTTTCAGATTGTCCCATTTCTTTTTGGCTTGGGTGTGGGTTACCTTGCCCATAACCCCCATTTTTGCCAAAATTGTCCTATTTAAATGATAAGAAGGAGAAAGCAGCGATTAAATTACATCTTGAACAATATTTACTACCTAAACAATCTCACTTGCTTCTTACCGATAACCATTGGCGGCGGTGTCCCTACCGCCCGTGAAAAGGTGCCGGTGCTCAACGCGGTGGCGTATAAATGCCTCGGTCTGTTCCTTATTCCCTTAAGCAAACACAAGAAACAAAAGTATGTATAATGCCGCATGTAATTAATGAATACCAGGCCAAACACTCTGTTGCCAGTTTATTACAGAAACTGAGCTTAACTGCAGTCCGGCAACAGACATGAATTCTGTCTGAGTGACTAGATGGGGTGTCCTGCTATAACACTCATCTAAAAACAGAGGGATGATAGCTCATAAATGAGATTTCAAAGGTCTTTTATTTTTGAAACTGTACATCTGATTGTCCTTATATTCTCTGAGTGACTAGATGGGGTGATATTAGTCTTTGATACTGGAGTTTTTGATTTATTCTTATCTAAAAACAGAAGGACGATAGCTCATATGAGATTTCAAAAGTATTTTATTTTGAAACTGTACATCAGATTATCCTGATTTTCTCTGAGTGACTAGATGGGGTGTCCTGCTATCACCCTGGAGTGATTAGTCTTTGATTGACTTCGAATGACTCTTTGATTATGGACAGTTTCCATTAAATGATAATCAAAATATAGATGGACAATAGATCTAATTTGAGATTTTAAACAGCATACATTTTAAATTGTGCTTCAGAAAGTCATGTTATTTTTGGAGTGTTGTGAGATGGTGTCAACATCAATTGAAATTAGTCACCCAGTGGAAATGGACATTTTAATAATGAATGTAATGGTCAGATATGTCTTCATAACTGTATCCTTACGTTTTACATTCACTCAGTTATAATGTGGTAGTTATACGTAGTTTGTTTTAAATTATTATTGATCACATTATATAGTACATATTTCTTGATTTAAGCTCCAGTATATATGAATATGTTTGGTATGATTTTTTAGGTATATTTGTTATTGACCGAGTCAGCGCTTTTATTTTGAAGGCAGTTTTTACAGGCCTCTACCGTAATGCATAGGATATTCGCGCAACGCAATACAACGTGGGGGCTGGCTTGACCGCAGTTACTTCTCATAGGTTTTATATCGATGAGCTAGCGAACTTAAGTGAATACTGACATAATTAGCCTACCTCACGATGTACCTAGCTAATTATCAACTTGCTTTACTTTCACGGAACACATTTATGGTGATAACAAATTTAACAAAGTAACACATACCAACACTACACATGTTCTACGCCACTGAACATACTTACATTTAAATGTATACTGCTTGGATTCAGCCATTTCCCGCCAAAGATTTTGGAAATTGGTCCGTGCGCAAAGAATTGTGGGTCCTTTAAAGCCGCCGAGGATACACATGAGCAGCCTCGAAATTTCGTGCAACGAAGTATTCAGCCCTCGGTAGAATTCCAAGGATCCTGTACATCGGAACAGTCCTTCGACGGGATTCGATGACGTAGCATCCGGCTGCAGTCGAGAGGCGAAGTCCCTCCCTTTCCGGGGGAGCTCCATGGCATGGGACCATAGACTGTATAAAGCATGAGACCTTAGGCTTGTTTGAGACGAGCTGCGGCTCGCCTCGAAAGTAGACGAGAATAGCCGATTGCAGCCGGGGGAGGTCTCAAAAAGCTCGCCTGAAGTCGGACAGCTCGGAGTCGGCTGCTTCTTCTTCTCTCGGTTTTTGGCGGATTGCAATCAACTTTAAGGTGCATACCGCCACCTACTGTACAAGAGTGTGTATCACCATATGATCCTATCACCACTTGTGGAATTATACCATGTATTTACGTTGTTTTAAATTCTTCCAATCAATCCTGTTTCATTCAAATATTTAAGAATGGCCTTCCTGGTAGCTCTTACCCCCTCACCTTCTGTCCCCAGTGTCCCCATCAGGCTCCACTCCCTTTCTGCCTCTCTGACCCTGTCTCTTAGGTTTTCCCTCTCTGTTTTGTACATGTTGCAGTGTAATACGATGTGTTCCACATTTTCTTTCACTCCACACCCCCTGCATTCTTCAACTTCGCTTTTTACCATTATAAACATTGTGCCGTTTAATCCTGTATGATCCAATCTGAGTCTAGTGATGATGATCTCCTCCCGTCTGTTCCTTTCTGTATAGATCTTTGTTATGACTGATTTCTGTAACTTGTGGTATCTCCTCCCTTTCTGATCTTCCTCCCACCTTTTCTGCCATATTTCCATACCTTCTTAATTATTGCTTTTCCTTCTCCTTTTCCAAGTGAAACTGGTATTGCTATTTCCTTCTGTAACGCATCTTTTGCTAATTTATCAGCATGCTCATTCCCTTGAACCCCCTCATGTGCAGGCACCCAGCATAACACATCTATTCCCCTCCTCTGAAGTCTCAGTAAGCAGTGGTTAAGTTCAATAATGAAATCTTCTCTAACAGTTATTGTCGACTGTATGCTTTCCAAAGCAGATAGTGAGTCTGTGCATATCACCACCCTATCTGACTTCTTCAACCCATTGTAACCCAATAACAGCTGCGAGTATTTCTGCTGTATGAACTGATAAGTTAAGTGACACTCGTTTTGAGATTGATATTTTGAATTCTGGTATATACACGCCTATCCCCACGCATTCTTGCTTCTTAGATCCATCTGTATACATTTTGAGGTAATTGTAATACTTTTCGTTCAGGTACATACTCCTTTTAATTCCCACTTCATTTATTTGCCACTGTTTTTTCCTTTCTATGAAACTCACATCTATGTTAGCTTCTGGGGAAAGCCATGGGGGAACACTGCTAAATGGGCTTGCTTTGGCAAACTTTATGGTCTCCACTCCATATGCCCTCGTTCTCTCCTTACTCGTCCAGCCAAACCCACGCCCCTGGAACTTTGTATATTCCCAGCAATCCTGTAGTATTCTGTTTGTGATATTTTCCTCTCCACTTCCTTGTAGCCTGACCCAGTAGGCCTATGACAGAGCAAGTTTCTCTCTTCATGCACAAATGTGTTTAATCGTTAATGTCAGATATGTACTAAGTAAATACATTTGTTCCTGCTCAAGATTAGATTCAATTTTATTGTTATTGCACAGATTACAGGTACTGAGACAACGAAATGCAGTTTAGCTTCTAACCAGGAGTGCAAAAAGCAGTAAAGTGAAAAGTAATGTCCACAATCTACAGAATAAAATATAGAATGAATTGAATGATGAATACACAGTGAGGGATATGAATATGCTAAGATATATAAAGTATGAAAACGGTAAGCAGTGCAAGTATAGTATGAAATATATAGATATTAATTTCATGATGATAAACATGGTGGAACAATGATGAAAAATGTGAATGGAAGTGGCGACGTAAAACTGACACAAAACAACAACAAACTTTTGCCGAGCCAATGGAGAGTTTCATCACCAGCACGGGGTAAAACCCACCAATGAGCGCTCAGCTCGAGATACCAGCGAGTCGTTTCCCATCAAGCATTTCGCTTCCGCAGCCCGTGGAGAGAAACTGCGCCGCCTCGCCGCGCCTCGCTCTCAAGTCTGCGGGCGTCTTTGTCCCGCGAGATTTCAACGTCTCATGTAGGCGAGCCTCCAGAGCAAGTCGGACAAAATGACTAACCATCATGCAACGCACTAGCAAGACGTTGATCGCAATTGCGCAGGTCTGCGCAGGTCTCGCAGACCGAAGATGGGAAACTAGACCGAAGAAGTATGATCGTCTTGGTCTTATTGTTAGCGGGAGACATCCATCTGAATCCGGGCCCGGTGCAGACAAGAAGCCATTCCTGCAGGCTCGAGGAGCTAGCATCACAACTAGCATCACAACTAGCATCTCTTCCGCTACAGCAACAACTACGCGACGACAACAGAGACCATGGAGACAGCGGAGACCGAGGAATCAACGGAGACTTCGACATTCCCCCGGGGACGCCTCGGCAGACAGACACGCATGAGGCAGTGACGAGAGGAAGAGAACCGAGATCCGAGGGAACAAATATCCACCATGTTGTTAGCCACCCTGCTAGCATATCGACGGCTAAAGCTACAACGGAGCCTCCCTCCCCCCACCACCCCACCGCTCCAAGCACCACGGCAGGCCGCAAGCCGTTTGCTGTAACGGACAAAGACAAATATCTTCAAGCTGACGACATTATGCATTTAAACAACAAAAATTGACTACATATTTTTCATCTGAACACTAACAGCCTGAGACACAAACTGGCTGAACTCAGGCAACTGTTCATGAACGGTAAGGCAAGCATATTATGCTTTTCTGAGACCAAATTGGACAATTCCATTACAGATTCAGAGATTGAAATTGAAGATTATCTTGTAGTGAGAAGGGACAGGAACGTGAATGGAGGTGGTGTCTGCATGTACATACATAAAGACACCAATTTCAAAAACCGTACTGACCTGCATCATGAAAATATTGAATCTGTGTGGGTTGAAATTCTTTTTGACAATGCTAAATCTGTAATAGTCGGGACAATCTATAGACCACCGGAACAGAGTGACTTTTATGATACATTAGATGGGTGTTTGGCTGATGTGGGGGATGTAGAGACAATTATTATTGGAGACTGGAACACGGATATGCAACGTAAAGACACGTCCGTCTTCAAGTCCTTCAGTAGGATTTGTGATCTGCACGGCTTCAGCCAGCTAATCACCCAACCCACCCGGGTATGTGAAACAACACAAACTACCATTGATCTCATTCTGACCTCTGACAGGTCCAGGATCTCCAGTAAAGGGGTTATAGCATGCGGTTTAAGTGATCATTATATGATATTCTGTACCCGCAAAAAGCTAAAACAAAAGGCCGGCTGTCACAAAACAGTCATATCTAGAGACCTCAAAAACTACTCTAGCGAGGCCTTTAACCTAGAACTGGAGAGCCTGGACTGGTCAGATGAGCTCAGTGGTACACAAGTTGAAGAAACATGGCTTGGTTTCAAAAACAAATTCTCTGCAATACTCAATGATTTGGCCCCCCTAAGAACAACCAGGGTAAAAAATCGCGCTGAGCCGTGGATGCACTCCGGCATACTGACCGCCATGAAAACCAGAGACAAAAAATGCTCTGAGTTTCATAAAAGTCAGTCAATGCTTTCCAAAAGCACGAGCAGTGAACTCCAGGCCCACGTGACTGAACTAAAAATTGAAAGAAACAGACTAAGAAATGACGTAAGCTCCATGATCAAAACTGCCAAAAAGAATTTCATCAATGACAAAACTGAGGAAAACAAAAATAAACCCTGTGAACTTTGGAAATTACTCAATAACCAGCTTGGCTGCAGTAAAAAACTCAAAACGAGATTTTCAAACTTAAACATAAAGACAGATAACAGGCTCATCACAGACAAACTGGATGTGGCCAAGTACTTGAACATTTTTTTCACAAACATAGCCACAACTCTTGTAAATAAATTACCCTCCCACTCAGGGCTTTTTGGAGTAGATCACATCATGACCTACTACAAAAACCTAGGGGTACGCAAAGATGATTTCAGTCTAGCAAGGGTAACAACAGCAGAGGTACTCATTAAACTGAGCGCCCTCAAACCTAACAAGGCCACTGGCCACGACAATATCCCCTCCAAATTCCTCAGAGACACAGCAACCGTCATCTCACCAGTCATAGCTCACATAATTAACCTCTCCATAAAACAGGGAAAAGTACCCAAAGACTTCAAAATTGCAAGAGTAACCCCCCTGCACAAAAAGGGCAGCAAATTGGACCCAGGCAACTACCGCCCTGTTTCTATACTTACCTCCATCTCGAAAGTCATGGAAAAAATAGTATATGAACAGGTCGAAAAGTACCTCGCAGAAAAGAAACTAATCTATGAATTTCAATCTGGCTTTAGAACATCCCACTCCACTGACACATGCCTTCTTTATTTGAACGACCACATCAAACAAGAGGTGGACGAGGGTAAATACTGCGGCATGGTGATGCTGGACCTACAAAAGGCTTTCGACACTGTCAATCACCCCATTCTGATTGACAAGCTAAAAGCAATTGGTTTTGATAAACTATCGGTGAGCTGGATGCAATCCTACCTGGAGGGGAGAGAAACAGATGGTGGAGGTAAACGGTACTCTGTCCCCCCCCCTCCCAGTGAGCTGTGGTGTTCCACAAGGAAGCATATTAGGTCCGTTACTGTTCCTAATTTATGCAAATGACATGTCATCAGCATGTGACTGCAACTTGTTCCTGTTCGCGGACGACTCAGCCCTGCTGGTCTCTGACAGGAGCAGATTGCAGGTTGAAAAAACCCTCAGCTCCGAGCTCGGCAGAATCTGCACCTGGCTCGCCGATAATAAATTATCATTACACCTGGGTAAAACAGAGTCCATTCTCTTCGGTTCGAAACATAATCTCAGCAAATCCGACGACTTCTCAGTTGCAGTGGGTGACATTATTGTCACAAGTAAGAAGGAAATTACATACCTAGGATCTATTCTTGAGGCAAACCTCTCCTGTGACAAAATGGCATCCAATGTAATAAAAAAAGTCAATCAAAGAA